GTTGAAAATATTTCAGTAATTCCATTCAAAACGTGAAACTTGTACATTATATTCATGCAATGCACACAGACCAATGTATTTCCAATGTTCATTACATTTAAATTTGATATTCATAAGTGACAACTAATGAAAACTCCAAATTTGGTATCTCAAAAAATTAGAATATTCTGAAAAGGCTGAATATAGAAGACACCTGCTGCCACTCTAATCAGCTGATTTACTCAAAACACCTGCAAAGGCCTTTAAAAGGTCCCTCAGTCTTGTTTTGAAGGCACCACAATCATGGGGAAGACTTCTGACTTAACAGCTGTCCAAAAGACAATCATTGACACCTTGCACAAGGAGGGCAAGACACAAAAGGTGATTGCTAAAGAAGCTGGCTGTTCGCAGAGCTCTGTGTCCAAGCACATTAACAGACAGGCGAAGGGACGGAAAAAATGTGGTAGAAAAAAGTGTACAAGCTCTAGGGATAACCGCACCCTGCAGAGAATTGTGACGACAAACCCATTCAAAAATGTGGGGGAGATCCACAAAGAGTGGACTGCAGCTGGAGTCAGCGCTTCAAGAACCACCACGTGGAGACTCATGAAAGACATGGGATTCAGGTGTCGCATTCCGTGTGTCAAGCCACTCTTGAACAAGAAACAGCGCAAGAAGCGTCTCGCCTGGGCCAAGGACAAAAAGGACTGGACTGATGCTGAGTGGTCCAAAGTTATGTTTTCTGATGAAAGCAAGTTCTGCATTTCCTTTTGAAATCATGGACCCAGAGTCTGGAGGAAGAGCGGAGAAGCACAGAATCCACGTTGCATGAGGTCCAGTGTAAAGTTTCCACCGTCAGTGATGGTGTGGGGTGCCATGTCATCTGCCGGTGTTGGCCCACTCTGTTTCCTGAGGTCCAGGGTCAATGCAGCCGTCTACCAGGAAGTTTTAGAGCACTTCATGCTTCCTGCTGCTGACTAACTTTATGGGGATGCAGACTTCACCTTTCAACAGGACTTGGCACCTGCACACAGTGCCAAAACCACCAGCACCTGGTTCAAGGACCATGGTATCCCTGTCCTTGATTGGCCAGCAAACTCGCCTGACCTTAACCCCATAGAAAATCTATGGGGTATTGTGAAGCGGAGGATGCAATACGCTAGACCCAACAATGCAGAGGAGCTGAAGACGACTATCAGAGCAACCTGGGCTCTCATAACACCTGAGCAGTGCCACAGACTGATCGAGTCCATGCCACGCCGCATTACTGCAGTTATTGAGGCAAAAGGAGCCCCGACTAAGTATTGAGTGCTATACATGCACATTCTTTTCATGTTCATTCTTTTCAGTTGGCCAACATTAGAGAAACAAACATTTTTTCATTGGCCTTTAGAATATTCTAATTTTCTGAGATACCAGATTTGATGTTTTCATTGGTTGTCACCTATAAATATCAAAATTAAACGTAATAAACATCGGAAATACATTGGTCTGTGTGCATTGCATGAATATAATGTACAAGTTTCACGTTTTGAATGGAATTACTGAAATATTTTCAACCTTTTGATGATATTCTAATTTACTGGCCAGCACTTGTATGTGAGAATGCTGTTCATAGACTTTAGCTCAGCATTCAACACCATAATACCACAATAACTCATCTGAAAACTGGACAGACTGGGCCTCAGCACCTCCATTTGCAAATGGCTGCTGGATTTCCTCAGCCAGAGGCCGCAAGTGGTGCGTGTGGGCAACAAGGTCTCAAACAGCATCACCCTGAGCACGGGGGCTCCACAAGGCTGTGTGCTCAGTCCTCTGCTCTTCACCCTGCTGACACATGACTGCGCACCAACCTACAGCTCCAACCACCTTGTGAAGTTTGCGGACGACACAACGCTGGGCGATGAGACCCACTACAGGAAAAAGGTTGAGCTCCTGACCACTTGGTGCAGAGACAACAACCTCCAGCTAAATGTTAGTAAGACCAAGGAGATCAATGTCAACTTCCAGAGAGGCCACAACAACTACCCCCCATTGACCATCGACGGCGCTGCAGTGGAGAGAGTGAGCAGCATGAAGTTCCTGGGGGTGCACATCAGGGAGGACCTCTTCTGGACCACCAACACAGCTTCACTGGCCAAGAAAGCACAATAGCGCCTCTACTTCCTGCGCAAACTCAAGCGGGCAAGTGCTCCACCACCCATCCTGATCACATTCTACAGAGGAACTATTGAAAGCATCCTCTCCAGCTGTATCACTGTGTGGGGCGGTAGCTGCACTGACTATAACAGGAAAGCTCTACAGCACATTGTGAGAACAGCTGAGAGGATAGTTGGTGCACCACTCCCCTCCCTATAAGACATTTACACCACTCGCCTCACCCGCAAAGCCATCACAATTGTTAACGACGCCAACCACCCTGCGCACTTTCTGTTCAGCCTCCTGCCCTCTGGAAAGAGATACAGAAGTCTCCGCTCCCGCACTACCAGGCTCACCAACAGCTTAATCTACGAGGCTGTGAGACTGCTGAACTCTCTTCCCTCACAGATCCGAGCCAGCAGAATCACCAGGGTGACAGGAGTATGGGATGACAGACTGGACCCTACACACCCCCACCCCACCCCACCCACCCACCCACACACACACACACACACACATATACATGCACATTATACAAAAAGGAAATAGTGGTTGAACCAAGAACGGGGTAAACATTTCTGATTGTAAACAACTACCTCTGCATTGCAATTGCACACATCTGCTGCTATGTTTTGTATATTATTAGCGATATTTACTTGTTTAATATTATCTTATTGCTAGGGATGTTTTTTTGTTTTTGTTATTGTTGTGCATCTGCACTTTATGTTAATGTCTACGCATAGGACAGTGTGAAACGTAATTTCAATTCCTTTGTATGGCAAGCACATTCGAAGAAATTGACAAATAAAGTATTCTATCCTACTACAGAAATGTTCTGTAGGCCTGGGCTAGAAGACAATGTTAAAGGTGCATGCTACCACACACAATTTTTGAAGTTTACAACTCAAGCCTTTTGTCAATTTAAACTGGAACTTAGTAGGGTGTCACCTAGGGGTGGCCAATCAGATTCTAAGGGTGGTATGTGCTACCCATAGACTGTACATACTGGACAAACGGATTCCATAGGCTCCAATAACACGTTTTTTGTCCATAATGGGAGGTGGCCACCACCGCCATTTTGACCGTGTCACAGGTTCCGTCCAGCCCAGACAATTCCATAAAAGGGAAGAGAGGAGGCGCTGAGGGTGGGGCTGTAAGGCTGGGATCGAGTGACGAACTAGCTACGAGCTAACCTGAAGCTAACCCTGGCTAACCCAAAGCTAAAGCGGAGGTGGGAGCCGGCTAACGGATGTAGCCACCTAGCTTCAATTCAACCGGAGCTAACTGGAACACCCAACGACCTGACCCTCACACGGAGTTTAGGTGGAGGTTTTCTGCGCCTGTTCGTGAGAAGTACCTGTATTAAAAAAGTTTTAAATCGGTAAGTTTATAATTTATTTTCGTAATGAAAACATTTTGCTTTGAGCAAGTTTTCAGTACAGTTTTTTTCGACGCTATCACTCCTGAGTCGCACCAGCCATTAAATGTATCATGAAGAAGAGAAAATATATTTAAGTCGTATTTTGGGGGGGCATTTTATTATCTTTCTTACAAAATCTGAGACCAAGCGTTTCACATTGCAACACAAGCACCGGTAACCATAACAGAATGAACAGCCAGCAGAGGAGAGGATGGCGGTGTTTCAAACCCTCCCGGCCGGCGTGGAGAGCTTATTCCTGGGCTGGAGCCGGCCCTCAGCACCCCGCCACAGGCTCCAACAGATGCTGGCGGTGTTTCATATATTTCCAAAACATAATACTTGTTTGTATCTTGTACAGCCAACTAGCCTTTATTCTGGACTCAGTACAATTTACCAAAAGTAAAGAGACATTATACAGATGAAGTAAGCACAAGATAACTTACTGGAATACACGGAATTATCATGAGAACCAGAACAAGAGAGCCTGATAACAGTCATGTGAAAATAACAGTTAAAAAGTATGTATGTATAATAGAAATAAAAATATATTAGAATTAGTGTAACTCACTGTGATCCAAACAAATCAGCCATAGCTGATTAGTAAATATGACATGAGGTCTGGGAGTTTTTAAGTTTCATTCTTTTATTACATTTTTTTCTTAGATCTGTTAAAACGTCACCATGGCAGCCTGTGTGTCAACGTCAGCTACACAAAGCAGCAAGTGTAAGTACCAAGTACTTGTCTTGACCACTTCATGAATGGTTTTGTACTTTAAACAGCTAGGCCAAACCTGTTATTTTTTCCTCCATAGCCATTTGGATCATTGGAGACAGCTGAGTGAGGCGTGGTGCCCAGAGAGCTGCAGAGACCGTCGGAGACAACCTTGGCCTCCCTGACGTCTGTGTCTCCTGGTTTGGTTTGGGGCGGACCATCGACATACATACATGTGCCGACACTTTGCGCCCTGTTTTATAAAATGTAGTGTTAAAAATAAATGTTTTTGCTCAATTACTGGAATTTCTTTGGTTAAAACAAAAGTGAGGAATAATCATTTACAAGTTATTTGTACAACAGGCCCATTTTAAATCCCAACAGTTTCTTAGCAGACAATAGAAATGTGTTCTTTACTAACTTTACTTGGTTTGAAAATCTTACTAAAATAAACTTGAGTGCCGTATTGCAAAACCCAATCATACTTGTTATGTAAACATTAGCTTTGTAGATATTTTTTACAGATATATATTTGTGTGCAACAAAAACCAAACTTAAATAATTTGTCATTCTTTATTGAAAAACAACAAAATACAGGTATACAGAAGTGTGGGAAAATGATAATTTTAAAGTATTGCACTATAAATGAAGTGAGATGAGATGAAGGTGAGATGAAGGTGGACGCCAGCGGGCTGGACGCCGGACGAGGAAACCTGGAGACGGATCGCTCAGACAGGAAGGGAAGAGCTTCCTCTTACCTTGATGGAATTAAAGTTAGCCATCGTCTGAACGCCCAACTGTACGGTCTGAGGTCAAAGGTCACAGGAAACACACCAGTCAGCAGTCATACAGATGCATAAAGATAACTGTAGCCATGGCAACCAGCTGACATGTCCCCACTTTCACCAGCAGCTGGTGCCTTCCGGGTCACCTGAATTCCTGTGTGATGTCAGCACGGTCGGCCGTGACTGCGGCCATCAGAGGTGATCTCTGATCAGCTGAATGAACTCACCTTCCAGGGTGACGCCGTGTTAGAGTCTGCTTCATCCTGTAAACAAACAAACAAATGAGTGGTAACAAAAACACCACGTCTGGTTCTGGTGGAGGCGGAGGACAACATGCACCTTTCCAGGAGCAGAACCCAGATGTTCTTGTTGCTACAAACAGAGACGAGCAGAGTTAAACCAAGAAGTGAGAGGGACCAGCTGCTGCAGACAGGTGACGCTCACCTGAACCTGAACCATAGGAGCCTCCTCAGCCATCAGACCTTCTGACTCCAGTTCAGATGCCACCTTGTTGATGTCCCTCAGGCGGGACTCGTTGGCCTTCAAGTCCTGCAGGACAAAAGCACCTGCTGATAACCTTGTTGCTGTCGGGTTAACAGGTCTGGTGTTAGAACGTGGTGGATAAGAATGTTCTGACGGGCCGAGGTTTCTGAACTCACCCTGCAGGACTGGGCCTGCTCCTTCAGGGCCTGGATGCTGCTGCCGTAAGCCGACAGGTCCGACATCAGGGCCTCGTGCTTCTTCAGGAGAGCCTGTGGAGCAGAACATCAGAACCTTCAGCTCGTCTGACACAAGTGGAGCTTTCTCGCAGCGATGGTCCAATCGGATCCGCCACCGTAAAACAAACCCTGCTCAGTTCACCGCAGACGCAGCTCTGCGGGTGTTTAGTGGAAAAGCGTGAGCCTTCTGCCGGCTGCCACGTGTCATGGCTGCTCTGCAGCGGGAACACACATCACAGCTTGTAAACCGTTTGAAATAAGAGCAACGGGAACACGTTTGTCATCACTTCCTGTGCGAGGCCAGCACTTCTACCCCTAACCCACGAGACGCTCAAACGAGCAACGACGTCTGGTAGACAACCGAAGGAAATGACAAATACAGAAACACTAATTATGAAGGACTGGAAAGAGAGCAAAGAAAAGCGATTAGAGTTTCTCAGGAAGGGACTTCCATACCTCGGCCAAGTCCTCGTCTTTCCCTTAGTCTGGACTTCCAACGATGGGCTCCTTCTCCCTCATCCAGGACTCGGCCTCATTAGCATCCGCAAAGTACTGCTGGGCCTGCAGAGAGTCCTCCAGGTCCTGCCTCCTCTGGGACGCCTTGGCCTTCAGCGTCTCCCAACGTCCATGAAGCTCCCACAGTTTAGTCTTCACTTCCTCACCAGCGAAGTGACCTGGACCCAAAAAAAGTGAACCAGAACCTGCAGACACCTCAGAAACATGTCAGGACCAGACCTGCTCTACCTTCCTCCACCATGGTCTCTCCTTTCTGGGTGACAGCCTTGATGCGAGGTTCATGACCTGTGATCTCAGCCTGCAGAGCCTGGTGCTTCTACAGCAGGTTCTGGACACCAATCAGGTCCTTCCCTGAGGACACATGTTAGAGTTCAGCATTATGCAGTAGACAGACCATTTTAACCCAGGGGTTTCTTTCTTCTACAATCTGCTCTTTAACTGTATTATTTCCTGCTATTTCAGCTGTTAACTTTATTTTTTCTCTAAGTGTTTTTCTCCCCAGAAGAAGCTACAATAGTGTTCTGCTGAGCTGTGGTGGCCTCATGGAGGGGGCCATCGGCTAGCACACTGCTGCTAACCACTTAAACATTCTCCCTCTCCTGATAATAACATTTTACTTTCTTTGATGTTGGATGTGCTACTGCTAGTTTACCCGTTTAATTACAGATTCACTAGGATAAAAACAATAAAATTTATCTCTCGCCAAATAGAATATTTACTAAGAAATCACAATGTAATGTGTGTGTGTGTGTGTGTGTGTGTGTGCATGTGTGTGTGTGTGTGTGTGTGTGTAAAAGCCATGTGTAGTGTTTATTTATAAAGCATATGTTGTTGGATTTCATCCAGAATCGAGACTTTAAAAATATATAGTTTAATTACAGTTTGATTTATTTGACATCTGTATAATGTTTATTATTTTGTTTTCCCCCCTAAATACCTAACGTTTTAGTTTAACATGAATATTAGTCATTCATCCCAAAACATAAAGTTACACTGTTTAAATTTTAATAGGGGAAGACTGCAGGAGGGAGCGGTAAAATACAGAAATCCCCAGCAAAAACAAACTTTACGAGTCTGATGAAACTTGCTGGTGTTCCCGCTGCTTTTTCGGTAAACAGCGCCAACAAAAACAAAGAAACTTGGGATCTTGTCGGCGTGGCGGTGGGATTTAAGGGAAACGCTGTATGCCCTATAGACTTCTCAACGAGCTGCAGTATTTCTCCGGTCAGATCTGTCTCCGAGGTCGAGAGCTCCACGAGCGGTCAGCCCGCAGCAGCGAGGCGCCGCATCGGTCAGCCTGCCCGGCCTGACCGCTGGGGATTACCGGATGAAAGAATGGAGCACAGTGGAGCACAGGTGTCCCTCCAAGCGGCGCGCTCCGTCATATTTCAACCCATTTTTATCTTAAATGCACTGGGTTTTACCCTTTTACCCATCGAAATATGCCCTATTAATTATTTTACCGTATTTTACATTTAAATTTCATGGTTAAACAGTACATGCTACATGTTAAACTGATAGTTAGCTAGCTACTTCAGTAAACTCAGCTAGGTGGCAGTGACATAAAATACAAATATAGATTTTAACTTACCGAAAAAAATGAAGTGGAGACTCCTTGGACGTTCTATTAGTGCAATTAATACCACAGCAAGTCATTTTGTCCAACAATTGCACCAAACATATCCAAAACAGAATTCACAAGCACAGAGACTCAAAATCCCGAAACAGTTTCCAGGAGAGACCGAGGCTGTACTGAGGCCTTTCCACGGAGCTAGCTATGTGGTCACGTGGGTCTGAGGCGGCGGTCACGTGTGTCGGATGCTCATTAATTATACAGAATTTTAGGCTTTCAATACACTTAAACAGAAGAGTGAGAAAAAAATTCACCCCCTCAGAGTTGTCATGAGTATAAACTAGATAATTTAGACAAAAAAAAAATTTTGGAACCAGGCTGTAAACATGTTTATTTCTGCTGTGGAAATGGCATTTTTAACATGGGAGTCAATGAGGATTTGCTCGCTTCTGAGACCAGCCCCCAGCGGATGAAGGTGGAACTGCAATTTTTCTTACTTCCGGGTTGGGACCATTTTTAGAGAGGCATTGTGGGGCTTGGTGCTACCCCAGGCCACTCCCTGGACACGCCCCTGGAATTTAAATCACAGGAGATGTCCAGAGTTTTTAAAGCCCGTGTTCATCGTGGGACCACAGACATATATATAGACTTGGGACTGTTTGTAAATATTATTGACTGCTTGGCCGCTTTATCAGAACCAGAGACGTATGTGTAACAGACCATCTGGGTGTTCAAGGGCCCGTATGTGGAGGGCCTCACAGAGGCTACACACACCCAGTTCTTTGGACTGTTTGTATGTAGATGTAGCAGGACTGGTTGGCGTCTCAACCAGTTGATCGGCCAGCCTATCACACATATTAATCAAACCAGCCCACCATTAAAACATATTACAGAAGATAACTCTACTGCTTGTACTATAAGATTAATGCACACAATTTAATTTAAGACATCTAAATGCATGTGTGTGTTTGCACTGAATGTGTTCGTGCACATGGTTCACACGTGCGACCATCAAGAACAAAGTAGAAATTCAGCGAAAGAAAGCGAATTGACTACATATTAATTTGGTTACAAGTGAACCTAGAGCCCCATGACTGCTATTATTTGAGGTACGGAGAGTGATCACGCTTGATCAAACAATGGGCTGAGACAATGTCTTCCTCCAAACTTGAGTTTATTTACACACAATGCATAAAACAAGTTCTTCTATATAAAAAAAGGAACAAGACAGTTAAAAACCCCAGAGGGGACTAATGACACCTTCTGCTGGAGGAGGGAGGCAAAACGACCAGGGCTGTGTAGATGTATTTACTTAATACACACGGCAATCATCATGCAAACAAGAAAAAGAATAAAAACACGCACTATTCTCCACACCAACTGGTAATACGGCTGAGCCCTCTCACGTATGCGGCCCTCCACAGCCAACCTTCTAGTCGTCATAGACCCCCTTTCTAAAAGTGACTCACAATGAAAACATTAGTTTTATCAAAGGAAAAATAAGTATAACAAAATAATCAACTGAACAAAAACAGCAGTGTCAGCGCTTTCTGTTAAAAGGAAGGAAATAATTATTAAACTGCTGATTTCCTTCCTTTTCAATTAATCATCACACGCTTACCTGTTATGTTTCATGGGACGGGCTCACAGACAACGGGTAATCGGCACATCCACACCACCATAGGCGTCATTTTAACCGGGGACGCCGGGGACATGTCCCCGGCAAAATTTGTGATTGGCAGCTGTGTCCCCCCCACTTTCAAAAAAGCCTGCTGATGAGGATTTTTGTTTTACCAGCTCAGATCTTATACCAGGGGTCGGCAACCTGTTCCCATCAAAGTGCCATTATTACCCGTTTCCCACAGTAAAGAAAACATCGCAGCAGCCGCAGCATTGTGGGCGGGGCCTACCCTCAGACAGCAGAGAGCTGCTCACAACCAGGTGACAGCAGCCGGTACCGGTCGCTCGCATGGGCATCGCACCCGTGGGGGATTCAACACCCACACTTTTCCAGCTGTTTTGCTCACCTCCACACCAGTCTGGTTTCTCTATGTCGCACTCGCTCTGTTTGCCTCATCTCCTTCTTCACCTCCCGCTTCTGACAGCCGATGTCGGGTTTCCAGGAGAGCAGGAGAGGGAGGGACGGAAGAGCTCGACTGAATTCATAATTTTACATCTTGACATTAGCTGTACAAAGTCTGAGTTTGATAACGTGAAGAACAACAATTTGCAGAGGTTTATAACAGGTGCAGTGCCAGGTTTTCATTTTTGGGTGGGCCACGGTAATTTTGGACGGACCTTAATAAGCAGTGACTTAAGTGAAGCAGGCAGGTCGCGCTAGAAAATTTCGTTTAAAAAGTCGTCATAAATGTGTTCCCCCGTCATTTTTATTTCTAAAATATGAAGTAAAAACTCCCAATTTAATTTTCATTCATTTGTCATTAATATGTAGTCTACACCCGTGCGTTAAGTGGACCATCTTCCAGTGAAAGCAAAGCATCCAGTCCACCTCTCCAAATGCGTAAAATGTGCACCACAGCCGTTAGGCGCGTCGCGCGCACCATCAGCTACATCAGCCCAGACAAGAGCAGAGCAAATAGAATAGAGGATCATTCTGTCTGGATGTGGATGGAGAATACATTTTACAGCAGCCTGATCATCATTTAAATAAAACCATCACCAGTCTTCTAGTCCACGCTATCAGCATTATTTTAATTGGTGTGTGTGTGTGTGTGTGTATTCCACTTCCAACACTGGTCTAACCAACCAGACCAGCATGTCCAGTAACATATTAATGTTACAATTAAACAGTTTCACTTCATGTAGGAACATTTCACCTGCCGTGGCCCGACCACTTCTGCTCCACATGAACTTTGTGCGTGATCAAATGTCTCTACAGGTGCTTTCTAAGCTGCTATTCTGCCTCAGACTGGATGCGTCATGCGTGTCCATATTAGAGACGGGAACAAGCGCTGTTCAGCCAAAGTTTCATAATTTCATAAAAAGAACATTTTTGCAATTTTTCCATTTTTCCATCCCTCAGAGAGACCGGGTTTCCAGACCGCTTCAGTGGGAGGAAATCTTATCGCATGCACCGTGGTTCTGCACTGCGCTGCTAACCCCTCTACAGATCTTCAGCTCACTGTCCACCGTGGGCGCTCCGAGCCGCGCTGAACACAGTGTCCAGTATAAAGCTCTGATGTTCTGATGGGAATCAAGTTACCTCTGCGATGTGCGTATTAAATTGTCAGCTCATCCATGCGCATCAGTGTGCGTCGGGGTAATTCTTTCAAAACAACCAACATCCTTGAGTTTATCCATCAAAATACAGTCAAATGGAAATATCTGTAACCTGCCATTTAACTGTTTTGCCTTCTTGTGAAGATTGTTGCAAAGAGAAACAATTAAACTTGATTAACCCCAGAGCCATGCGCACTGCGCTGTACGTCGTGACTGTAAATGAGGGGAAATGATTTAATCGGATCCTTTTCTTTTCAACATGGTTTAATGTAAAGTTTCATTCTGTACAAACTTTAGTTACACCAATCTAACTAGACAGAGCCTGGATTTGTATTCTGAACAGTTTAAACATGTTTAAAACGGAGACATGCGTAACGCGTCTAAAATTCGCACCTGCTCCGCTATTATGGAAATTAAACTAACAAGGTGAATAACATCAAATTATTTTAGGCACAGACAACATCTCCCACACTTTTGAAAATCTTGCAACACGCCTGGTCGCTCGTGTACGTCAAAGTTATCTTTCATAAGAAGATAATCAATAAAACGATTTATATGAAGTGGATCCAGAAGTTGTAGCCCATCTCTGCCTACAATATTTTGATATTTTTCACCCTGTTGGTGGTTTTACTGAGCAGGTGCCACTTTTGTCATACGTTTCTTTTAAAAACATGTTTAGACTGTTCAGAATACAAATCCAGGCTCTCAGAACCAGAGCGCATGTGAGAAGGTTCCTCCCACTGAAGCGAGCGTTTTCCAAACCCTGTCTCTCAGAGACTTGTCACTTAGAAAATGTTCCCTGATTATGAAACTTTGGCTGAATAGTGCTTGTTCATGTCTCCAATGTGGCGACGCATCCAGGAGCTGAGGAGAATCCCAGAATCTGACATCCTCCAGCTCAGGAAGCGCATATGATTACGCACAAGCGTGACGCGTCAACCCGGTCTCACAGTAAGACCGGGTTGGACCTGTTCAGGTTTACGCAGACAATCTTTACATTTAGAATTAGCTTACAGATGTAAAATTAATGCAGTAAAATATAAAGCATTTTATTTAAATATTCATTCATTATTTTACAAGCACAGAGAGCCGCATCAGATGGATGGAAGAGCCGCATGCGGCTACAGAGCCGCCGACCCCTGTGCTAGCCTACATTGTCCCCAGCAATTTTCAAACCCCACTCAAGTGTATGGTTATTGTCCCCAGCAATTCTGAAAACAAACTGACGCCCTTGCACACCACTGATCCTACAGCTCATTTACACACACACACACACACACGCACACGCACACGCACACGCACACACACACACACACACACACACACACACACAGCCCCAGCCCCAGCCTTTCTAAACAATTGTATAAAAACTAAAAGGATCCCTTACCCGTAAAAATAATCCTCCATGCACCCAGTGTACAGCTCAGACACGCTGCCCCACCTGTCTGTCAGGACACCAGGTAAACGTTCTCGCCCAGCTTCTTCTTCTTCTTCTTGTTTATTGGCGGGTGGCAACCAACTTCTAGGTGCATTTCCGCCACCTTCTGTGTGGGAGTGGGAGTCGCAATAGGGAGAAACTGTTCTAATTAAATTCTATTTATGAAATTACTAGTCTTTAAAAATTCAATTAGTAATTTATAAACATCTAATCCTCCAATTAATATATTCCTCAAATTCAACTTTTCATTATCTTTCATCTTTAATTGTCTAGATAATATTTTCCTATTCTTTATATATTTGTCACATTTACACAACACATGTTCTACCGTTTCTCTATCCTTTCCACAACCACACATTCCTGTACTATGTTTACCTATCATAAAGAGTGTACTGTTTAAACCCGTATGCCCCATTCTCAGTCTTGAAATTATCATTTGATTCCTATTACACATTGGAATGTTTTCCATTTTACCCAATCTGTCCCTAATTTTATATAGATGTCTTCCCTTTTCCTCTCTTATCCAATGCTCTTGCCATTATTCCATAAGTATCTTCTTAACATATCCTTTAATTTCTGCCATGCTATGCAAGATGTCCACCATATCATTCATTCGAGAAGCTTGTTTAGCATAAAAATCCACGTAACTTCATGTTTTGCTGCACATCTCGACATGTCATGGCAAGATAATCGGGGTGGCTCGCTCTTGGTATCTCTGTCTAAGTTGAATTACTGAAATAGATGGACTTTTACACAATATTTACATGTTTCCAGTTTCACTTGCATGTCCTCCATCAGATTTCTAGATTACCTGGTGTGACTTTTCCAAAGTGATGATTTGTGCTGGTCATTGTTACCAAAACATAAAAATAGCTCTCAGCTGGAACCTGTTGGACTCATCTGCTGAAAGCTGAGCTTAACTTTAGCTAAAATCTGGAGGTATGAAAACTACTTGACTCATGAGTCAACTTGTTTATGAATTTTTTTAAAAATCAAAAACCACCCCAGAGTTGTTACATGCACTGAAGGAAGATACATTATTAATCATAGCAGAAAGCGATTGTTAATATAGAATAGAATAGAAGAGACTTTATTGATCCCACAGTGGGGAAATTCACTTGTTACAGCAGCACCAGCACTCACCAGAATCATTTGAAGAGAAATAATAACAAATAGGCAGTAAGCTATTATTGTAACCTTCGACCACTAAAAACTACAAATAAAAATGAAAAACTTGGGTTCCAGAACTATGCAGCATGCTGTAAGGGACACAGGCATACCATGTAAATCCGGTATTGCACGAATATTGAACACATACTGAATATTGCATTGGTGTTATTGTGTACCAGGATCATGCCAGTACAGCTTAAACTGAGGGGTTATACACTGAGTGGGTAGGAGGGGTGTTGTAGGATGGAGGTCATTTTCACCACCATTCTTCTTTAACACATTCAACTGCTACTGCAGTCTTCTTCAGAGCTCGCTGCTGAAGTTTCAGTCCTCCTCCTTTTGTACAGCATCAGATGTTGAGGTGACTACAGGTCCAGTCAAGAACAGGACCTGTAGGGTACAGGGTAGGGTACAGGGTCCTAACAGCCCATACCCTCTGGGGGGTACTTCAGGAGTATGGGGTACCAGGCCCTCTGATACGGGCTGTAAGGACCCTGTACGACTGGTGTCAGAGCTCGGTCCGCATTGTCGGCAGTTAGTCGAGCTCATTTCTGGTGAGAGTCGGCTGCACTGATGCAACTGGGTTTGTACTGTATTGTATAATAAATAGTTTTATATTTGACATGTTTGATTAGAAACTATAAATGTTTACTAAATATATTTGTATATGTCATAACCTGCCTTCATTTTATTTCTTAAGAGTAAAGTCCCTCTACTGTGGATTTAGTTCTGTGTTATAATCCAACCCCTCCTCTTTAATCTGGGCTTGGGACCGGCAGAAGTGACCCAAAAGGGAAACTCTGGCAGTTAGTTGGATTTTTTTTTTTTGGTTTGGTTTTTATTCAGATGCTTTCTGAACTTTAAGTTCATCTTTTTCATGTTTTTTGTTTAGTTTTGTCTTTAAAAAGACAGTTGTTGTCATGTTCTGTGTCCCTCTGTCCCCAGCCTCCTCCTGTTCTCCTCCAGGTTCTCCTGCTTAGTTCTTTCCACATTTAGTTTACTGAATGCACCTGCCTTCCCTCCAGATCACTCACACCTGTCACCTGTTCCTCTGATCACCTCGTTCTGTGTTTAAAAGTCCTGTCTTTTCCCTCAGTGTTTGTCGGTCCATCGTTGTGAGTCAGCGTTGTTTTGTTCCCTCGTCAGGTTCTAGTCTTTGTGCTCATTATTGAGCTTTTGTTTCTTTATTTTTTTTTTGGCTTTCAGTTTTCTGGATTTGATTCCTGCATCTAAGTCATTTTTGTTGCCACCTTAATAAAAGGATTTGACCTTTTTTCAACTGCTCTTGCCTCGAGTCATTCTGGGCTTCTGCGTTTTGGGTCCTACCTGCTCAGCGTGACAGTTTTTGGCTCTTCAGGAGTCCTAATCCAACGGTTGATTCACACACGTGCCGGATGAGAAGCGTGTCCATTTGCCCATTTCTGTCAGCTGTTATCTTTTTAAGGTGTAACAGATTTAGGTGTTACACCTCTGAGCCAGAATCTTCTCCAGAACAGAGTGAATGCTGCCCAGAAACAAGCTGTTTCCTCTCTTACTGAAATGCACTCTGTCTGGGAGAAAAAGGGCGTTGTTGGAGAACCTGAGCTCAGGATGCTTGATGACCAGGCCCCCAAAGCTCCTAACAGCCCTCCTCAGTAAAGAATTAACCTGTTTTCTGTTGCTGTTAATTCTTCCTGGTCGCCCGTATCTCCACGACTGCCGTTCGTTGATGGCGGAAAAGGCTATTCTCATTTCCGGAAAGTCCTTATGGAGGTGGGACAAATCCTTTTGGATCTGAGAAGCCAGTTCCACCGGGGAAACGAGACCCAGATCGTTTCCTCCAGCGTGAACGACCAGAATATCTGGAGGACCGTGTGTGGGAGCCTCGGAGTAAAACCTGGGAAGGACACCACCCCTGCGCATGCCTCCTTTACCAAACCATTGGACCTTAGCTCTGAGTCCAAAGTTTGTCCCAAACTGCTGCTGAGCCGCCTCTTCACCCCGTCTGATGTAACTGGATCCAATAATCCAGGTTAGTGGAGTTCGAGGCTGCTCAGACTTGATGGTAGATGCAGTTTTGGGGGGTTCAGAGACACTTTTGGGTCCTGAATCCGTCCCTTTCCTACGACCTTTGAGGCGGATCATAGTGGGGCGTTTCTGCTGAGGTGTGCCTTCTGACAGCCTCGGCCTTTTAGCAGCGCTGGGGAAATCAGAGTTCTCCTGACCTCCGTCACTCGAACGCTTTCTTCTCCCCAACAGCTGAATGCGAGGAGTATCCTGGAGTTGGACAGAGGACATCTGTCTTTTCTCCACTAAGGAAATTCCTCGGTACCTTGCCAGCATTTTATATCTTTGGTCTTGTCGATTAGCCCGTAAAACAGGGGAGTTTTTTCTGGAGATGGATGTTAAACCTCCACTGGGGTCCACAGACACGGCTGTCTTGAAAAAGACACTTGGTTCCTCAAAGGGCTGAATCTGACGAGACTTGTCAGGTTTTGATGCAGACAGACACAGTTTTTGTGTTTCTGCAAAGCTAGTTCCTCTGTAGCTAGCCAGAAGTTCATATCTGCGTCGTTTGTGAAACGACTGTAGCTCAGAGGACCTTAGCCCTGACTGGAAACCTGGTTGGCTGTTTGAGAGAACAAAGACCATTTTGCACTCCATGATATTCGAGCAGTGAATAATTTAGCTATAAATATTCACCAAATGCACCAGATTTCTCTGAAGGAAGCTGTTAAAAGATGTTGTTTACACAAAACCAACAAGTTTTCTGAGAGCAACAATCCATCCAACCACCTTCTTCAAAGCAAGTCTGATACTGACTGACCACTGACTGCAGACCTATATGTATATGTCCATGCTGCAGACGTGTTAGTCATAAAGGCTTTGTGACGTCATCGCGCCACCTGCACCTCCGTGCGTGCAGACGATTACAATTGTACTGGTGCACGTGCTACTTTACGTCTGCTGGTACTACGATACGTCTTCTACTGGTGCTACAAGCAAGGGCGTCAGTTTGTTTTCAGAATTGCTGGAGACAATAACCATACACTTGAGTGGGGTTTAAAAATTGCTGGGGACAATAAAGTAGGCTAGCACAGGGGTCGGCGGCTCCGGAGCCGCATGCGGCTCTTCCATCCATCTGATGCGGCTCTCTGTGCTTGTAAAATAATGAATGGATATTTAAATAAAAAGCTTTATATTTTACTGCATTAATTTTACATCTGTATGCCAATTCTAAATGTAAAGATTGTCTGCGTAAACCTGAACAGGTCCAACCCGGTCTTACTGTGAGACCGGGTTGACGCGTCACGCTTGTGCGTAATCATATGCGCTTCCTGAGCTGAAGGATGTCAGATTCTGGGCTTCTCCTCAGACAGGTTCCTGGATGCGTCACCACAATGGAGACATGAACAAGCACTATTCAGCCAAAGTTTCATAATCAGGTGTGGCAGTGTGAGTGTCCTGTCACAGTGTCCCGATAGATAATGCGCCCTGGCTACTTGGCCAAGGGGTTGTCCCTTTGGCTGACTGGTTAGAGCGTATGACTCTCACCCGGGAGTCTGGGGATCGAATCCCGCCCGGGCCCTCGTTTCTCCACCTTGCCACATATTGACGGATAAACTCAAGGATGTTGGTTGTTTTGAAAGGATTACCACGACGCGCATGGATGAGCTGACATTTTAATCATTACGCACATCGCAGAGGTAACTTGATTCCCATCAGAACATCAGAGCTTTATACTGGACACTGTGTTCAGCGCGGCTCGGAGCGCCCACGGTGGACAGTGGGCTGAAGATCTGTAGAGGGGTTCGCAGTGCAGTGCAGAACCACGGTGCATGCGGTAAGATTTCCTCCCACTGAAACGTTCTGGAAACCCGGTCTCTCTGAGGGATGTGTCACCTGGAAAATGTTCTTTTTATGAAATTATGAAACTTTGGCTGAACAGCGCTTGTTCCCGTCTCTAATATGGAGACGCATTACGCATCCAGTCTGAGGCAGAATCGCCTCTTCAGCTCATAAAGCACCTGTAGAGACATTTGATTACGCACAAAGTTTATGTGGAGCAGAAGCAGTCGGGCCACGGCAGGTGAAATGTTCCCTACATGAAGTGTAACATTAATATGTTACTGGACACGCTGGTCTGGTTGGTTAGACCAGTGTTTGAAGTGGAAAACACACACACACACACACACACACACACACACACACACACACACACACACACACACACACACACACCAATTAAAATAATGCTGATAGCGTGCACTAGAAGACAGGTGATGGCTTACGTATTTAAATGATGATCAGGCTGCTGTAAAATGTAATCTCCATCCACATCCAGACACAATTATCCTCTATTCTATTTGCTCTGCTCTTGTCTGGGCTGACGTAGCTGATGGTGCGTGCGGCGCGCCTAACTAGCAGCTGATGCACATTTTACGCATTTGGAGAGGTGGGCTGGATGCTTTGCGTTTACTGGAAGATGGTCCACTTAACGCACGGGTGTAGACTACATATTAATGACAAATGAATGAAAATTAAACTGGGAGTTTTTACTTCATATTTTATAAATAAAAATGACGGGGGAACACATTTATGACGTCTTTTTAAATGAAATTTTCTAGCGTGCCCTGCCTGCTTCACTAAGTCACTGTTTATTAAGTTCCGTCCAGAATTACCGTGGCCCACCCAAAAATGAAAACCTGGCGCCACGCCTGTTATAAACCTCTGCAACTTGTTGTTCTTCACGTTATCAAACTCAGACTTTGTACAGCTAATGTCAAGATGTAAAATTATGAATTCAGTCGAGCTCTTCCGTCCCTCCCTCTCCTGCTCTCCTGGAAACCCGACATCGGCTGTCAGAAGAGGGAGGTGAAGAAGGAGATGTGAGTGCGACGTAAAGAAACCAGACTGGTGTGGAGGTGAGCAAAACAGAAGGAAAAGTGTGGGTGTTGTGTCCCCCACGGGTGCGACGCCCATGCGAGCGACCGGTACTGGCTGCTGTCACCTGGTTGTGAGCAGCTCTCTGCTGTCTGAGGGTAGGCCCCGCCCACAACGCCGCGGCTGCTGCGGTGTTTTCTTTACTGTGGGAAACGGGTAAGAATGGCTCTTTGATGGGAACAGGTTGCCGAACCCTGGTATAAGATCTGAGCTGGTAAAACAAAAATCCTCATCAGCAGGCTTTTTTTTAAGTGGGGGGGACACAGCTGCCAATCACAAATTTTGCCGGGGACATGTCCCCGGCGTCCCCGGTTAAAATGACGCCTATGGTAATGGGTCCTTAACCTCTCTTGTTTGTCTGTATTCTTTGAGTATTTTCTCACCTCCTGGCTTGGTTTGCAGAAGTTTTTCAACAAGCTTCAGAGTGAAACGACAAAAATAATTAAAGTACAGACAGTGCACTTGAGAATTATTCACCGTGCATCACTTTTGTTTTCCCACATTTTGTTTTCTTACAGGCTACAGCCTTGTTTTTTTCTTAAACTTTCCTGTTTTTTTTAACTAAACTTCTATACACAACCCTCCATAATAATGTGAAAAAAGATTTTTGGGATATTTTGCAACTGTGTTAAACAGGGTAATTAATTACGAAAGCATAAATATTCACTATTTTTGAGATAAAGTGCAAAATTAAGCTATGGCAATTTTCTTCAGCAGGAAGAACTGAGAGAAAACTCAGGATAGAGGGAAAGATTAATGTAGAAATGCACAGACCTCCTAAATAAACACCTGAGTGCACCCTTGACTTCGGACTGAAGAGACGGTAATCTTTCAGCAGAACGTCTTTAAGCACACAGCCAAGATATCACAATGTCTGTGGAGACTGTGTGTTTGGTCTCAGTTTGGACACAGTGGTGTCATTTAATGAGACTTTGAGTGTGTTTGCATTGTGTGTTCCTTTTCAGTCAATTCAGCTCCTTGTATTAGTTTCAGTTTCTGTGAATGTTTAAGCCTGACGTCAGGGGCCATTTTTGTTAAATTATGTTTCTTATACTGATTTTTACCTGTGCTACGTGTCCTCAATGTTACCCCAGATCTCCTAGATGCTTGGGTTGTAACATGGAGTAAGGTTGTAACAAGACAAAATATGGAAAAAGTGATGTGATTACTTTCCAGAGGCACTGTATAGAGAGCCTAAGTCTCTTCCCTTTCCGGTCGGCTCATCGGTCCCCAGAAGAATGAAAACATTGTATGGAAGTCAACGGGGCTAAAACCGCTATTTTCTAATCTGCTTTGCCTTACGCCCTGGATCGCACATATGTTGTACTGCAATTTAAATGAAAACTAATGATGGGTGTTTGGACCCCACCAGTCACGTACTTTGAGATTTATCAGCTTGTAAATGTTCGTAATTAGAATGACTGCAAATCAAACATCAGCACGTTGCATATATGACGTCACCACAGAATCTCTTCTCCCGTAGCGTAGCTGCTACTTACCAAATGGCCAGATTTATGGCGTTTTCTCCGTCTGAAGGAAGGATTTGAAGTTTGCTGAACTTACAGCTATTTTCCCTCTGTTTTTCTCCGTGTCTGGTTCGATGACGTCACTTTTGTGAAATGCATTTGTAGTCTTGGGCTTATTTTCACACAACATCTAAAATAACGTTTCCTCCCGTTAGAAAATAAGCGCTTTCTTGGTATCAAAATGCATCTTTAAAATTCACGGACATCATATGTAAAATCCATGGCACATAACAAGCGAAATTAGAAAATAACGGTTTTAGCCCCGTTGACTTGCATTCATTTTTTTGTTCTTCTGGGGGACCCGTGGTCCAGAAGTAGATGGGTGTGACTTAGCCTCCCTATTAATAACAGCCTCCATTTAGAAACAAATTCACACAAAATTAAATCAAATAAATGTAATTTATTTAAATGAATTGAAAATATCACCTCTTTGGCTTGTAATGAAGTGTCTTCATTTTGATCTCTTCTTGGGGACATCATCGTGGTTTCATCAATGCGACGTCTTTTAGGGGACAGAACAGATAACTCGCTGTCTGAAGAAAAAGATGACAAGGAGAGCGTGTCTGTGCATGAGGATTGCACCGAAGATTCTAAGGAAAAACAGAAATACAGATCAGTACTGGACAACCATTAAATCATTTTAGCCTAAATTAAGAAACTAATTATGTCTAAGGCTTCAGAATTTCACTGAAACATTAAAGAAGGGGGAATTTTTTTTAAACATGAAGTGTAAGTAATAACCTTTAACTTTTAGTTAGATGTATAAAATAAAATGCAGCTAATTTAACAGTGCTACTGTTACCTTCAACAGAAGAGGCATCAATGAGGGTCCAGACAATGTCTGATTTCTCCTCCAGAACATCAGTAAAGACATCCTCATCTACTTCTGTCCCAGTTTCATCCACAAGATACATCCTTTTATCATCTTGGATGCCAAACTTCTCCTTGGCTGTAAATGCATATAAAATTATTTTAGAAGCTTAAATTATTCAAGTATACAATTTGTAGTTTCATTATATTTACCTAATATTTAACACATTGCCTACTCAAAGATTAAGAATTTAACTTGTATAAAAAAACATAAAAATGCATAATTTTAAGCAGGTGAACCCAAATGAAAACAAAAATGTAATACCTTGACTGAGGAATGTAGAATATGAGGCTCCATTGAGCTTGATATAGCGTTTTTTTTCCTATATACTGCACTTTGAAAAGCATCGTCTGGGAAAAAGAAGAATCACAGCAGCCAGCATATAGCAATAACCTTTATATGCATTCCTTTGCACAGTGGAAACCTTCTCATCTTTAGTCCAGATTTATTTTGTTTCCCCAACTGAAATCGATTGCTCCTACTTAGCTTAGCTTTTCAAGGCTCCTTCCAAAGAAACACCCAGTTTTCAGTCTTTGAGCCGGATTTATACTTCTCCGTCTGCGTCGGTATTGACCCTTTGCATGTGACCTCACGCCACACATGGGATCGGCTCGTTCACCTTGATGGACGGCAAAATAATAAAGTATCTTTGAATTGAATTGAAAAAGGCCGTTTACACACGTTGAAACTCCGGTGAAGCTAGTCAAAACAAGCCTGTCTGTAGCCTTTTATCGCTTTTATTTAGTTGATTTCACAGTAAAATGGTAACTACTTGCTGGGTGGCTGGCTGCACTAACAGACAAGGATATGTAAAACTCGTATTTTTCTAATAACTTTGATCGAGACTGAGGACGGAGAACTGCAGCGATCAATCATAATGGTGGCAGGATTCTTCAGGAAAGCGCAACGCCCTCTGTTGTCCATGGCGGGGAATTGGTTTGCAACTCTTCCTAGCTTACGAAGTCCGAAGGGAAAATGTCGCCATCAAGGCGGAAAACAAAGTGGCACTCCTGGGTTGGATGATTTGTAAACGTGCTCGCCACTAGAGTGTACACCGCCTGGGTCTTCAAGCTTTTCTTCATTGTTTTTAGGATTAGCTTTATGAAAAATTCTGGGAATAAACCTAAAAGCATTCTCCACGATTGCTAAAGCATGTAAAGGCGGGAGTCAGCAGAACTGCAATTCAAAAAGAAAACTAGTATTTCGGGGAAAAAACTGCTACGTTAAGTTAGCTCGTCCCATCACTACAAAGCACATTTCTATTACTGCTAGCACACAACAAAGTATTCCCTGGGTTTCTTGCTAAACAGCTTCAGTTAAAGACCGCTTCCATGGCATTTATTTACTGCATTTTAAAATTGAGAGTTGTGTATAAATACATATTTTGCGTTGTCTTTAGTTAGCAACGGCAAATTAGTTTCTCCTAAACTAAAAGCCAGGCGATAATGATGACAATATGTACCAGTTCTAACGGCCAGTTTATTAAACGTTGTCTTTGAAATTAAAATTCCATCAATATATGCCTTACCTGTAAGCTACGTTGTCTGGAAAATCGCTGTTTCTTCCACTGCTCCGTAAATCAATGGAGGACCGTCCCGCCGAAAACTTTCCTTTGGCCGCCTGCACGCGTCGGCGTCAACAGACGCCCATGACGTAAACACGCACGATATGTGAAATGAGAACCGTGGAGACTCAATCACAAATAAACACCAAGAGAGCTAGTAAGGACAGGAAAAACTCTTCACCAATCCTGCTTAAACAACTGACACCAGTAGGAGTCACTCTATCAACACAGGAAGTGTATTAAATTATTAATATACACTGCAGTGTAAAAAAAATAACTACATACTCAAACTCTGGAAAAGTAACACTTTTCAATTTGCTGTGACTTGAAACTATGAACCTGCTCTGGTAAAGTTTCATACAATTTGAGTTCAATTTTGACATTTATTTTATTTGTAAAAACCATACTTTTAGACTTGTCAACTGAAAATTTAAAGACCCAGTCAAAAGACCAATCTTCTACCCTCATGATTGCCTCCTGTAGTTTCTTCTGTACATATTTAATATTTCATCCCTTTTTCCTTTTAACACCATCATTCGCAAACAAAGCTTTACCAATATCTAATCCTAAATCATCAAACACATCATTAATCATAACAGAAAACAACACTGGACAAATTACTCTACCCTGAGGTGTACCATTGTCAACCGTATAACTATTTGAAGTGCTATGCCCTATTTTCACTTGAATGAATCTATTAAATAAGAAATCCTTTATCCAATTATATGTTTTACCTACAATTCCTAATCTTCTTAATTTAATCAGTAATCCCTCCTTCCACACATATCATAAGCTTTCTCAATATCGAGAAAAAAAAACAACTATTAGACTTTCATTATTCTGTGCTCTTCTAATTTCAGTTTCCATACTCGCTACTGGATCCATTGTTCCTCTACCTTTCCTGAATCGGTTTTGATACTTAGTTAACAATTTCTTACTTTCTAAATAATAATTTAATCTGTCCGTAATTAATCTCTCCATGATCTTCCCTAAATGTGATGTCAATGCTATAGGTCTGTACTTTTCTGGGTTACTTGGGGTTTTTCCTGGTTTAAGTATTGGTATTATTAATGCTTCTTTCCAATTCCTTGGCAGCTTCCCTTCATCCCAGACTTTATTGAACAATTCCAACAGTTTAGCATTCATCTTATCCCCTAAATGATTAAGCATTACATAGCTGATATTGTCTTTTCCTGACGCTGATACTTTACTCAACCTCAGTACCTTGTCTAATTCGAACAATGAAAATGGTGCATCCATTGCAGATGATCTTTGTTCGCCCCCTTCTCCCACCATATACTTCAGTTTAGTTTCTTCTCTTCTGTTATGTCTAACGTCTGATAAATTTTTATTACTATGTATTCCCAATTCAATTTAATTCAGTTTTATTTATATAGCACCAAATCACGACAAGAGTCGTCTCAAGGCACTTCACATAATAAACATTCCAATTCAGGTCAGTTCATTAAGCCATTCAGAAATAATGTTTCCTATATAAGGAACCCAGCAAATTGCATCAAGTCACTGACTAGTGTCAGTGACTATACAGCAATCCTCATACTAAGCAAGCATAAAGCGACAGTGGAGAGGAAAACTCCCTTTTAACAGGAAAAACCACTAGAGGATCGAGAAGACATAGCACACACACACACACACACACACACACACACACACACACACACACACACACACACACACACACGACAAAGTAATGTGTCTATAGTTACATTGTGATTTCTTAGTAAATATTCTATTTGGTGAGAGATAACCTTTATTATATTTATCCTAGTGGATCTATAATTAAATGGATAAACTAGCAGTAGCACATCCAACGTCAAGGAAAGCAAAAAGTTATTATCAGTAGAGGGAGAATGTTTAAGTGGTTAGCAGCAGTGTGCTAGACGATAGCCCCCTCCATGAGGCCACCACAGCTCAGCAGAACATCATTATAGCTTCTTCTGGGGAGAAAAACACTTGGAGGGAAAATAAAGTTAACAGCTGAAATTGCAGAAAATAATACAGTTAAAGAGCAGACTAGAATAAAGCAGTAGAGTGTGAAAAGTGGTCAGTGTATCCTCCAGCAGTCTAAGCCTATAGCAGCATAACTACAGAGATAACTCTGGATAATGTATCCTATTTAGATGGAGGCATGTTGGAGGCAGGGCAAGGGAGAGCCGTTTTTACCGACTGTACACTCCCTTGGTCAGTCCAACCATCTCTCTCTCCTGCTCTCCCCAGCCTACACTCCCCTCAGGCGCAGTGCCAGGCCCACCACAAGGACTGTTACAACCTGGCCAGAAAATGCTCTCAACAAATTACAAGACTGCTTCACAGAGACAGACTGGGACATATTTGAACACCAGGACCTAGAAACTTTCACAGGATCAGATCACCCAAATACCATAACCAGCAGGGGAAGTCTGAGTTCCTCTGTGCAAGCAGCTGTGAAAGTTCGCAAGGAGGTCAGGTCACTGAACTACAGTCCAAGATGGGCCAGAAAGACATGGCAGAACTGCTGACTTGCAGTCCAAGACGGATGAGGCCAGAAGACATGATTGAGCTGATGTAACACCACAAACCTGCTGTGGATCAGTCAGCTCGCTCAGGAAGTGACACAAAACAGTACCAACCTCCATCCTGCGTCGACACATCAGCAGGACGACACAGAGCTGAGAGCACAGTCTGTGACCAAGACTCATTGCAGTGCATCACGCCTGAACTGGAGATGAGGTGCGGGGGTCAAACACAAAGTTCGGAGGGAACCAGAACCACGGGTCAGCCAGCCACTGAAAATACAGAACCTTTGAAACCTGTTCAGTCCTACAAGCCATGGTTTGACCACAGGAGGAAATGACAGATGTGGAGAAGGTTCAGAGATCCGTAAATCATCTTCAGCGTTTTATGATATGCACTTCATGCATTGGGTAATGGTCATCAATTTTATCTGGTTTTTGATGTCTACTGGTGTGAATTGATTTAATAAAGCTCAGAGTATTATAGAGGTTTTGATATCTGGTTTAATGTTGAGCTAAGATCCGATTGATTGGTCATTCCAAATTCCAGGTTGGTGGGTGTGTCATAATTCGTACTCTGGTTTTTGTTGACATGATAATGTATTTTATTTTTATTGTTATTGCTCAAAGGTAACATTCAGGGGGAATAAACTAATAAAGCTAGGAATGCAGAATAAAATGGTGTCTGTCTGGTGTTAAGCTAAAGTCCTCGCATTGATAGGGTGCGTCAATCATAATTCTTGCTTACTAATTGATTATTGGGTTAATGACATCTTGCATTGGTTTTGTTATGACAACCAAAATGAACATCAGGAGGGATTTGTTAGGTATTTTTATTAAATGTTCATGTTGGTTGGTCTGTGAATCTTTCTTTGTAAGGCCTGAGGCCAGATCTCTGGAATGTGGTAACCATGGTAACCCTAGGAGATGGGTGTACCTGTATGTAACTTGAGAAGGCCCACCTTCTCTGTCCTGTTGGTCAATAAAACCCCTGGTAAACTGAGGACTCATGGGAGTGACATGGGGCCAGCCTCGGAGGGGGTTTCCCCTGCGTCGACTCTCCATCATTTTGGGGACTCAGGGTACAATGAAATTCCCTCTTATGATGTGTGTTTATTTCAGGTTCAAGGGTTATGGAGAAGTAAAAATTACCCAACAAGCTCCCTCTAACTACATATACAAAGTAGCTGCTTCTCTAATTATTGATTCCCTATATTGTTATCATTACATTGTGTTCATTTCTTAATTCTAATTTTGCTTATCATTTACTTTTTTCTTGTACCAAGTACCGCAGCGATTTCCTATTGTTATGATTCACGCACATATGGCAATAAAACCCTTCTGATTCTCATTCTTCCATGAACATCTGGTTCTCCTCCATTCACTTCTTCTTGGAGTCACTTTGTTCAGGATGTTGTCTGGAAAAGCTCTTTGCCTCACAAACATTTCCTCTCTAACAAGCTGAAGTCTTCCTTTTGTGACAGGGTGAGTGTGACCGTATTCAGATTGATCATGCGCCCTGGCTGCTTTAGGTTAGTTTCATCATTCAGTTCAGGAGGTGTTAAGACTCTTTAAGGAAATGAAATGTGTCTGATAAGCTGCAGCATCATGATCCAGTCAGAGCGCTGAGGTCAGCATCTCAGCTGCTTCTGGACCCCACCACCAGATGAAAAACAACATCTGATGGAGCCTTAATTGCCACTTACACATTAGCGTCGGTACGGTGCGGGGAGGATAGCGTCAGTTCGGTCTCGATGGGCGGTGTAGTGCTTACATATACTGTAAATCTGAAGGACTTCTCAGGGATGTGGAAATCCCCGAGCCGCTGGGCGAAAGGCCGCGGTGTCCACCATAATAAGATAAACAAAGGCAGGCATGTGTGGCTTTTGGAGACTCTGAACCACATTATTTTGTTAAATTGCTGTGTGTGTCCTCATAAGGCACATTCGGACTGTAGGAACCTTTTGTAGTTCCTCAAGGTCAAGGTCAAGGTAACTTTATTAGTACTCGAAGGTAAATTTGATTTGCCATGTGACATGAGAATTAGCGCCCAGTTACACACACACTCACAAAATATACACACATCCATAAAAATACAAAAATTATAAAAACAATACATGAATAAATAGAGATAAAATCAAGTAAAGTAGCCACGCCAGACTCATTTCTTATTGAGAATTGTTACTGCCTCAGGAATAAAGCTCCTTTTATACCTCTTGGTCCTGCACTTAGGCACAATAAATCTCCGTCCTGATGGCAGGAGGGCAAACTGGGCATGCAGTGGGTGGCCCGTGTCCCTAACAATAGCGTTGGCAATTCTGTCTACCTGCCCGCTGTACAGTTGTGCCACACTTTTCACTTGTTTTCCAAGCAGGCGACCCGACCACTTTACTATCCTCTTCAGTGTTTCCTTTTGTTTTGTTCCTAGAACCTTTCCAGCCCCCGTTTGCGCGTGTTCAACAGTAGGAACTAGGAACCTTTTACCGTAGTTCCTAACACCATTTTAGCTCCTACTCCTAAGAGGACAGGTTTGGTTGTTCATTGCGAATATTTTAAAGAACTTCTAGAGTTATACAACAAAGCTGTAGAAAATGCAAAGTCTTCTTTCTTCAGCAACCTCATATGTCAAAATAAGAATAATCCTAAGGTTTTGTTTGATACCATCTCCAGCATAGTTTCTTCTCCTCCGCAGCAGGCTCAGCTATCTTCAGCTGATGATTGTAACACCTTTCTCCACTTTTTTGCCAAAAAGGTGCTGAATCTGAGATCCAGCATTCCACCAGCTCCCCCCCCCCCCCCCCCCAGGAGGGGAGGCCCCCCAGTGCTCCAAGTCTTTCACCTCCTTCTCCCCAATTACACTAAATGACTTAGCCTCAATAATCAGTCAGATGAAGCTCTCATCATGCTCATCAGACATCTTACCTCCCTCTGTCTTAGTCGGGTCCCTTGCCTCCATCAGTCCATCTCTGTTGACTATGATCAACAGCTCACTGAGCCAAGGCTGTGCTCCATCTTACTTTAAAAATGCATTAGTGACTCCTCTCTTAAAGAAACCCAACCTTGACGCCAGCTCCACCAGTAACTTTAGGCCCATTTCTAAACTACCTTTCATCAGTAAAGTACTTGAGAAGGTTGTGGAAACCCAACTCAGATCCTGGTTTTCCAAGTCAAAGATCTCTGACCCCTTCCAATTTGGCTTTCTGAAGCAGCACTCAACCGAGACTGCTCTAGTAAGGGTGCATAATGACCTCCTGATGGCTGCTGATGCTGGGAAATGCTTTGTCATGGTCCTGCTTGACCTCAGTGCAGCTTTTGACACTGTAGACCACAACATACTACTAAACAGGTTAAATGCCCTGGCTGGGATTTCAGGTTCTGCTCTGGACTGGCTCTCTTCCTATCTCACTAAAGCCCCCTTCAGACAGGCCATGAAAAACGGAAATGTTCCGGACTCTGTCCGTAAGACCTTTGTGTCTGAATACAAACATCCGGATAACGTGTTCCGGAATTTAACCGGACAAAGCCCCTAGTAACAGGTCCGGAATTGTTACGGACAGGGTGGCTGCTTCAGAATGGTGAGGTAAAGTTCCGGACAAGGGCGAGGGGGAGGAGGAGGAGGGGACCGGGGGACGCTGTGCACACCTATAGCTCGCTGCTGTAGCATGCAGCGAACCACGGCAGCTCGCCTCCTACAGTACCACCTAGACGCGCGACGGAGCGCTTCACACCGCTTCAGTGATTCCTTAAACCATTGAGCTTCATCATCCAGGTCTCTTATGCGTCTTCGTGTGCGCAGAATTATGCTTAAGCGCCTCGTGATTTTTATCTTGAGAGGTGCTATAGAAATGATATTTTCTTCTTCTTCTTCTTAACATAAGTCCGATTCTCCCCCCACCCCCCGCCAGACTTCTGGAACTTTTCCCTGCTGTGTGAACGCAGCCGAAAGGACAAGTTCCGGTACAAAAGTGATGTGTCTGAAAAAACAGTTCCGGTTAAAAAACGGATTGAATTGTCCACAAATGTTCCAGAATGTCTATCTGAAAAGGGCTTTAACAGAACATTCACAGTGAAGTCAGAAACCTTCTCTTCAGACACTGCCTCTCTAACATGCGGGGTTCCACAAGGTTCAGTTCTAGGGCCTCTACTATTCGCATTCTATATTCTTCCTCTAGCTGGCATCATTCATTCTTTCCCAGACATCTCCTACCACATCTACGCTGATGATATACAGCTCTACATGTCCTTCATGCCACACCAGTTGGACAGGCTGGCCACCTTTGTACTCTGCCTGACCCAGATCAGTAACTGGCTGTCCAGCAACTTTCTTGTTCTCAACGCCAACAAGACAGAGACCCTGATTTCTGCACCCCCAGAACTTCAACCAAAAATCGGGCAGGAAATTGCCTCCTTTTGCCCATCAGCCAAGGCCAACATTAGAAACCTGGGAGTTATTTTTGATCCGGTTTTAAGTTTAGACTCACACGTCAAAACCATCTCCCGCTCTTGTTTCCTGCAGATCTGGAAAAAAATCATCCATGCCTTTTGTGTCATCACGCTTAGACTATTGCAACGCTCTTTTTACTGGTCTCAGCAAAACCTCCCTCTCACGCCTTCAAGCCATCCAAAATGCAGCAGCCAGACTCCTAACCAAATCCAGCAGACAAGCTCACATCACCCCAGTTTTACAGTCCCTCCACTGGCTCCTGGTAGAATTTAGAATACAGTTTGAAGTTTTAGTGCTGACCTATAGAGCTCTTAAACACCAGGCTCCAAGCTATTTATCTGAGCTTTTATCCCCACACACCACTTCACGGAACCTCTGATCCACATCTGAAAACCTCCTGGCTGTTCCTCGAACCAGACTAAAAACCAAAGGGGACAGGGCCTGTCAGTCTATTGACCCCAGACTTTGGAACAGTTTGCCTTCAAATCTCCATCTCTTGAAATCTGTAGAGGTCTTCAAAAAACATCTTAAAACTCACCTTTTCATCCAGGCTTTCCCCCACTAAATATTCTAAAAGATGGCTTTGTTCTTGTTCACACCTTGACTTTGTTTTTACTCCAGATTTTGGTTACTGTTGTCACTGCTAGTTTTTATGATGTTTTTATTGGTTTGAGGTATTTGCCCTTATTTTACTCATGTTGTACAGGGCTTTGTGATTTATATCTGTGAAAAGCGCTATATAAATAAACTTTACTTACTTACTTACTCCGAGGCTGGGACTTTCTGTGGTTCTTACGGAACTAATGTGACGTCGGCGCTTAGTGAGCTACGCCCCTTGCTTGATTTCTGCATCTTTTCTGTTCCGAATCATGTTTGTTTATTTAGAAACAGACGGGACAACATTCCGGATACTCCTGCTGCCGCTAGCACACCTTGCCAAAACTGAACAGGTAAATAAAACAGTCTTACCCCCAAATTCCACTACCTCCGCTCCGCTCCAACACGAACGCCGGAGCAAAATCGGTCCCGTTGTAGTCAATCAGCAATTCCACTACTGCGGCCGTGCTCCGGCAGTGCGCCGCCCTCTGTTCAGGCGTCCGGCAAAAATAGAATCGATCCTATTTTTGCCGGACGCCGGCGCACCTCTGCAGTCAATGGACAGGAATCACAACCGCCCAACAGGAAAAGGAGCAAGCACAACTTCTGTTTTTCACAATAAATCGATAAACAAAAGGCGTTTTTTGTTTCATATGCACAGGTTTAACAACTTTTAACAACTATCAATGGCGGCTGAACTTTAAATGCACAAAAGTAAGCCATAAATACAGTTTCCACTATCAAAGTAGTCACACTTGGTTGATCCAAACACTGCTGATCTCTCAACACAAATGATGGGCAGATTAAACAGTTCATTTCGATGCTTCTCCCACACAACCGGTGTTTGGATCTAACTTCCGTGTTTATTGCTCGGACTGTATCGCAAGATCTCGAAAATCCCGCGCATGCTTGTTTGCCCACCTCAGGTCTCCGCACCGGAGCGGAGCCGTTGTAGAGCAGGTACCAGTAAAAATTGAGTTCGGAAGCGAGCGGCTGTGGAAGGCGGGGGCGGAGCGGAGGTAGTGGAATTTGGGGGTTAAGGTGTTAGAAAGTGTTTTGTTTCTTCTCTTGATATGACGGAAGGAAATTGTGCATTTTGGGATTAAATCACAGAGTGAAAGCCGCCGAGAGCGAGCATGCTTGTACCAAATCAATATGTAGTCAATTCGCTTTCTTTCGGTTAATTCCTACTTTGTTCTAGATGGTCGTACGTGTGAACCATGCGCACGAGCACATTCAGTGCAAACACACACATGCAGTTAAATGTCTTAAATTAAATTGTGTGCATTAATCTTATAGTACAAGCAGTAGAGTTGTTGTCATCTGTAATATGTTTTAATGGTGGGATGGTTTGATTAATGTGTGATAGGCTGGCCGATCAACTGGTTGAGACGCCAACCAGTCCTGCTACATTTACATAGTCCAAAGAACTGGGTGTGAGCGTAGCCTCTGTGTGGCCCTCCACATACGGCCCCTTGAACACCCAGATGGTCTGTTACACATACGTCTCTGGTTCTGATAAAGCGGCCAAGCAGTCAACAATATTTACATACAAACAGTCCCAAGTCAATATATATGTCTGTGGTCCCAAGAACTGGGTGTGAGTGTAGCCTCTTTGTGGCCTACCCACGACATGATGAACACGGGCTTCAAAAACTCTGGACATCTCCTGTGATTAAGATTCATCATATATTTCCCCCCAGTTTCAGCTGAGTCTCATTTAGTAACAAAACATGATTGTAAACTCTCTCTCAAGTCAAGTTTATTACATAGCCCATTTCATACACAAAACGGTAGCCCAATGTGCTTCACATAGTTAAAACAATCACAAGTGAAATGAAAAAGTTAAAATGTCACATCATGTTGTGTAAAATAAAATAAAAGAATATTGACACAGAACATAGTACACAAAAATAAAAGCATATTAAGTACAATTATTGGTAGCACTTTCTTTAACAGTCCTGTAATTACTTAGTACTTACATGGTAATTACTTAGTAAGTTAGTGTATTGTTGTTTCTGAGTTCTTAAATTGTTATTACCATGTAACTCAAGTTCAATTATAGTTTTTATTTTTATTAATCATTCCTAGTAATACTGCTTTACACAATAACTACACTTTATTACAACTACTCACTTTAATTACACAATGATACACAATAAAACAGTACAGAATAGGTATGCATAAAAATACATATAAAATAAATTCAACACAGTACAGATAAAGACCTAATAGAGCACAGATGCAAGGATAGGTTAATAGAAGGCATCATGAAAAAGTTTAGTTTTTAATCTGGATTTAAAAATGGAAATGGTGGGAGAGGTCTTAATGTCTATTGGAAGACAGTTCCAGAGACGAACCGCATAGCAGCTAAAGGCAGCCTCTCCGTGCTTGGTGCGGGCTCTGGGTTGTACCAGTTGGGATTTATCTGCTGACTTAAGTGATTTTGAAGGGTGATACGTTTCAAACATCTCTGCTCTATACAGAGGTCATTGGCCATTTAATGATCTAAAAGTAAGTAAAAGGTCTTTGAAATAAATCCTGTAAGTTACTGAAAGCCAATGTAAATATTTTAAGATTGGTATGACAGGGGTGGACATTAACTTCAAAACCAACCGGCCAGCCGGGCCGGTAACTCTGAAAATTTACCGGCCCCGCCAAGAATCTACCGGCCCCGCTGGTCAGCTGCCAAAACGAGTCAAAATAACAACTGAATCGTTTTAAATGTAATAAACCTTTATTTTGTACACATTCACAAACATAATAACGTATTCAAGTTTGAATTTGTTTGTTCCCTCAACAAAACTCGATTTTGTCGTCACAGACTTCTGGCACATAACGCAGTACATCACCAACTCCGCTTCGCTGTACTCGAGCCATTGGCTGTGTTCGAGATGAGCCAGTTCTGCGCAGATTAGACCAGCAGTGATCGGCGAGCAGCGCATGCCGGTTAGATTTGTGTCCGACTTGACCCCGACTTGCTCTGACGTCATGCATACGTAGGCAACGATAACCTCGTGAGATCAAGGCGGCCGCAGATTTTGGAGCAAGGCGCTGCAGTTGTTCTCTACCGGCTGCAAAACCTAGGGGATGACGGGAAACGCCTGGCTCTCACTTGATCTAAGATCTGATTGGTTCATATTTTGATCCAAACATCCGGTGGTAGAACATGAAATGTTAGTTGGTCACATGTATTCTGTAAATCATGTTATGTTGATGATGACAACTATATAGGCCATAAAGAGAAATGTATTTTGTTTTCTTTTGTCACCTTTCCTATGAGCACACTAAACCTACAGCTGATAACCTTTACTTATTATTAGTCATTTTTCATATAGAATATATGACATCCACAAGCACGTGAGGATGTGTTTCAGCTGCTAACAGGCACCAGAATTAAAATTGAAAATTGAACAAGTGTGAATGCTAACGCGATATCTTCAGCCATCGTCACCCCCGAGCTACACATGTAGGGAAATCTGTCCGACTTACGCCGGGGACACACCGGCCCCTGAAGCGCCGCGAAAATGGGACCGCCTTCATTCGGCACCCTTGTTAAGCTATTCTATAGACCACATGGGCCGCTGAAGCGTCGCGAATCGCCTTGCGCCGGCGCTTCAGCCCGCGCCGTGCAGCGATCATTTCGGCTTCTGCTCTTTTTTTTGCGAGCCGCGGGTGAATAGCGTCAATTCTGGCAGGAAGTCAAACCTAGACATAAGAGGAAGGCCGGGAAATTTAACAAAAGAAAGCATTTCAAAATAAAATTCCGCAGTAAAATGTTTTCGACACTGCAGAAAAACCACACAAACACACACACACACATCAAACTTGTGTGTGTGTGTGACCACGTGAAGGGGTAAGTGATTTTGGGTGTCTTTTTACCGGAGCAAACAGGACAGAGAGGCAGAAAGTCTGAGGCAAGCAGTTAAGATGGATGACTTTAAATTAATTATGGAAGTTGAGAAACACAAGGACACATAAAGAGCTGTAAAACCCCCGAAAAACATGGTTATTTAAGTACCCATTTCAGAAGAAACTGTTAGGATACAGCTGCAGAACTGGAGCGGGTTCCAAGAGATTCAACTGGCAGAAACAACTGGTTCACACCATAGGTTCACACACACACACACACACACACACACACACACACACACACACACACGTAGAGGAAAAGAGCTGAGAAAAGGCAGAGGGGAAATGGAGGACACCAAGTAGTTAAAAGAAAAACTACAGCTGAGCCGAGGCGCGCCTCGACTGGGGTGCGTCTGATCTGAACTGAGGAGCGGCGAGCAGCGGCCGAATTTCGTGAGCGATTCGCTTCTCGGCGCTTCCGCGGCCGGTGTGTCCCCGGCGTTAAACGCCGGCTTTGCTCAACTCGAACACGGCCATTCTCTGCGCCTCCCGTCTTCTTTAAACCGCCAAGAATCATTCCACCTACGCACACGCTTCTCTGCTTCATACCGTTTCGAACTGTCTCGCTTCTCCTCAACAGTTTTAAAGCGTTTTCCCAGAGATTTCATCAAGAAATCCAAACCCTATGGTGGCGCGATCTTCTTGCATGCTTGTGTGTTTCTAGCGTGGTTCCACTTCATCTTTAATAGTTCACGTGACTACAACTAGAATCATGCAGTACGTGCGTGAATCGTACAAGTGCAGTACGTGGCTAGAGGAGCGCAGGTTCACGCGCGCAAAACGAAAACGGCGGCTTCCTACAGGGCGGGGCCATGATGTAGGTGAAAGCCGGTGTGTAAATGACAAACAAGGCTTGGGCGCCACCCGGGCGGTAAGTCGTCAAGTATTTACCGCACGACGAGAAAAATTAGCGCCATTGGCGCTCGGGCGCTTTAACGGTCCACCCCTGTATGATGTGATCATTTCTTTTGGTTGTGGTCTCTTGCTCTCTGTCTCTCTGCTCTGTGTAACGCACAGCCTTCAGACCTGCGGAGAAAAAACCTAAAACATGCAGAAAAGAAGATAAACCTCCAACCTTAATATTATCAGCAATGAACGCAGCAAAACTTAACTTTCAAGACAAAAAAAAAAACATAAAAATTATTCAATAAATCAGGAGAGCAGGAACAAATCTTATTTCTGATTTTACATTTCTTACTTCAATTCAAACTATTTAGACTTTTGTGTTTTCATCATATTTAGCCTTTATTTTATATAAAATATCATCAGCTTTACAGGTTAGCTGTTCCTGTGTGCTTAAAAACTTATGTTACTAACCTTCTAAAAAAATACCAAATCATTCACATGAAGTAGATTTGTTATTCACTATCTGAAAGTATCTGATTAGTTAAAAAAAACTAAATATGTTTTGTTCAATTTGGTTTTCAGAATGTCACTAGTTTACTTATACTTTTAAAAAATATATATACTGATGTACTGAAATACAGAGAAATCAACTTGTGAGTACAATGCATGTTAATATAGTAAGTATAACATGTTTAACATAAGCACGTTCACACATGGAAAGTATCAATGTAAATAAATTATATGGCAGTAACTCTGCTGTACTTTCATTGTGTAAAAGTAGCTCACGGGCCAAAAAAGGTTGGAGACCCCTGCAATAGATCATTCAGCCCTAGTGGAAGCTTAGATGATTGTTTAAAGTTTTCTTACAGCGAAATCTTTGTCCACAGAGCTCACAAGCAAAATGCTTCTGTCCTTTAAGGACTCTTTTGTGACCATTTAAATTGATCTTTTGGGTAAATCTTTTCCACCGAACTCACAGGCGAAAAGCCTGTGTGGACTCTCATCTGTCTGTTTAAATGTGTCTTTCGGCTAAATCTTTTTCCACAGAGGCTTTTCTCCTGTGTGGACTTTCATGTGTGTGTTTAAAATATGTTTATGGCTAAATCTTTGTCCACAGAGCTCACAGGCAAAAGGCTTTTCTCCTGTGTGGACTCTCATGTGTGTGTTTAAATTTCCCTTTTCACTAAATCTATTCCCACAGAGCTCGCAAGCAAAAGGCTTCTCTCCTGTGTGGACTTTCATGTGTGTGTTTAAATTTCCCTTTTCACTAAATCTATTCTCACAGAGCTCGCAAGCAAAAGGCTTTTCTCCTGTGTGGACTTTCATGTGTCTCTTTAAAGTTGTCTTTTGGCTAAATCTTTTTCCACATAGCTCACAGGCAAAAGGCTTCTCTCCTGTGTGGACTTTCATGTGTGTGTTTAAACTAGGTTTATGCCTAAATCTTTTTCCACAGAGCTCACAGGTGAAAGGCTTCTCTCCTGTGTGGATTTTCATGTGTGTGTTTAAAATATGTTTCTGGCTAAATCTTTGTCCACAGAGCTCACAGGCAAAAGGCTTTTCTCCTGTGTGGACTCTCATGTGTGTGTTTAAATTTCCCTTTTCACTAAATCTATTCCCACAGAGCTCGCAAACAAAAGGCTTTTCTCCTGTGTGGACTTTCATATGTGTGTTTAAACTATGTATTTGTCTAAATCTATTCCCACAGAACTCGCAAGCAAAACGCTTTTCTCCTGTGTGGATTTTCATGTGTTTGTTTAATCCATGTTTTTGTCTTAATCTGTATCCACAGAGCTCACAGGCAAAAGGCTTCTGTCCTGTGTGTACTCTCATGTGATCGTTTAAATGTGCCTTTTTGGTACATCTGTATCCACAGAGCTCACAGGCAAAAGGCTTCTCTCCTGTGTGGACTTTCAAGTGTGTGTTTAAATTTCCCTTTTCACTAAATCTATTCCCACACAGCTCGCAAGCAAAGGGCTTCTGTCCTGTGTGGACATTCATATGATGGGTTAAACTGGACTTTTGGCTAAATTTTTTCCCACAGTCATCACAACTAAATGATTTCAGTTGTTTCTGGACTTTTCTGCATGAGCCTCCATGTTGCTTCTCTTTCACACATTTTGCATTAACCGAACACTTTACTGCTGAATGACTTGTCACTCTCACATGTTTCTGAAGAGACCACTTGTGGAGGAACCGTATACCACACACAGGGCATCTAAATGATTTGTTGACGGTCTTAATATCTGACTCCGAAGACTTGTTCTCGTTACAGCCATGGTCTCCGTTTCCAGTTTCAGGCCCAGAGTCTGAACGCTCAGAGTCTAGATTGACATCATCTTCATCTTCTCCACTAACTTCAATATCTGAAGAATCAGATGTCTTTTCATTAGGGTCCAGATCTAGGTTCTTGATAGTTTCTGCTCCTCCACCAACTTTTGCCGTCATCTGCCCAGCCAAGCTGCTGGTTGGGACACCTCCGTCTTTCATTGGATGGTTGTGGAAATGTAAGAGCAGAGGTTTCTCATCTGTCTCCTCTCTCTTCCTTGACTCTGCAGTGAACCAAGCAGAAATATATAAAATAAAAATATTCAGTAAAAAGAGAAGACAAAATACCTAGGGGTGTTTTTGTAATCAGTAATATACATAACCAATGTTGGTAAACACATTACTATTTATGGTAATGCATGACTTTTACAAATAACTATGAATCTAATGAGTTGCTTTTACATCCAGACATCACTATGCGATTGGTAGAAGGAAAAAAAAACGCTATCTGCATATTCTGATTAACGCCTCTCAAAGCCGGTCAAACCAGCCGTCCGTCGCTGCTACTGTGGAGCCTAGAGATACTGTTTGGGAAAAATGTATGTTTATTAATTCTTGACCATGGACTCAATCAACTGAATGTAATATGTATTGCTCTATGCCTCTCTGCATGCCCACTAGTTCAGAACCACAAGCTGGGACATATGGCAGTAGAATTCCAGATAAAGAGCTAGGAGCAAGGCCATTTAAACATTTGTAGGCCAGAATCAAAATCTTAAATTGAACACAGAACTGAACTGGGATCCAATGCAGAGAGGCAACAACTGGAGTGATATCATCAAATCCACAAGTGCCTGTCAAAAGACGAGCTGCAGCATAGCAATACATCCATGATCAACACCCAAGTAAAGACTATTGCAGTAGTCTAAACAAAAAGCATTAAATGCATTAATAAGCTCATCAAAATGATTTCCCATCAAAAGGACTTATAAAGATTCTTTAGGTGAAAAAACCATACTTGAACCACATTATTGACTTGAACATCAAATTTAAACTGAGAATCAATCTTAACACCCAAATTAGACACAACATCCTTTGCATCATATGAGACTGAGTAACTACAGGAGCACCACTTGGTGCAAACACAATCAACTCAGTCTTAGACTCATTAATCTAGAGAAAATTACAACCCATCCACAATCATTAACCTCACGAAGACAACTCGGAGCTAAATCCTTAGCTTTAAAAGGAGCATAGACCTGACAGTCATCAGCATAAAGATGAAAGTCAAGTTCATATTTCCTGAAGATGGCTCCAAGAGGGAGCAAATATAATTGAAAAGCAGAGGACCAAGTACAGAGCCCTATGGGACCCTACATTTCAGGGGAGCATCACCAACATCAGTATATTTGTAAATATCATTGAACACTCTCACAAGCACAGTTTCAGTACTATGCTTTGTTCTAAAAGCTGACTGAAAAACTTCTAAAATTTGTTACTACCTAAATGGTCTGACAATTGCTTAAAAATGACTTTCTCAAGAACCTTAGGAAGAAATAGCAGCGTAGAAATAGGTCGATGATTGGATAATACCAAGACATAAAGACCGGGTTTCTTAAGAAGGGGTTTGATTACAGCTCTTTTCAGACTCTTTGGAACTTCCCCACACTGCAGAGTAGTTGATTACATTATGAACCATATTTGAAATAGCTGGCCAAACATTCTTAACAATAGAGGATGGAATGATGTCGAAAGCAGAGCTGGATAGTTTCATCCTTCCAACAATTTCATACAACATATCTGGGGATACAGAGTCAAAAGAATTCAAAGTAGTTGAATCAAAACAGATATCTTCATCAATAGAACAAAATTGCTGGGGAATTTGAGCTTGAATAGTTTCAGTTTTGCCTATAAATTATGTCAGAAACCTCTCAGCAGTAGTCGAAGAGGCTTTAAGTCCACCTGCACACGAAAGATTTAAAATCTCATCTACGGTAGAAAATAGTACTCTTGGGTTATGCTCATTAGTAGGGATGTCCCATTCTGATATAGATATCGGAAATAGGTCCGATTTCTACCAAAAAACCTGTATCGGATTATATCGGACTGCATTAAAAATGTCCGATATAAGCAGTCTGTTCCGTGTAAATTCCGTTCCAGGTATTCTATCCAGCAGCGTCCAGATCCAGCACGCAAAGCCCACATTACGTGATCAGAACGTGTCTGCTAGGGAAATAGCAAGGAACCAGAGACATGTCGGCTGTGTGGCAGTATTTTTCATTGAAGCATGAAAAAGACAGTGTTGCTCAGTGCAACACTTGTCATGGAGAAGTTTCCCATTGTGGGACAGACCCAGGGAAATTTAATACATCAAACCTCATTGCGCATTTGAAGAAGCATCACACAAAGCTGCATGAGGATTTTCACAAGACCACGGAGACGAAGAAACAATTCCCTGGCTTTAAACAACAAACGCTGCCTGAAACCTTTAGCCTAGTGAACTAGACCAAATTCTTGCTTTGCAAGGAATGGTCTAGGCATGCTCCATTGGAACCTCAGCAGCTCCTACCAGGACTCTGGCTAGCCAATCACAGCTCTCAAGAGGGGTTTCAAACACATAAAGAGCTGTGACTGGATCTGCCACATCGTCATCAACATCCTCGCTATTTGCCTCAGACTCCGAATGTGAGTCTCCGTCCACTTCCTCTGCTTCCAGTTCAAAAAACAGCCGTACTATCTGAACTGCCTGGTGGACATCTATCCTTCTCATCATCCTTTATTAAAGCCCAATAAAAGCCTACCAAACTGCAGCGACAATATATCTGTCTGTATCGCTCCAAAATATGAAGTTTACCGTCAATATCTGTATAATTGTTTGTTGTTACTCCGTTCGCGCCACTCCTTTCCCCGCGAAGCGGCTCCTTTTTGCACACATCTCGTTACTCGTGCAGCCCTCCTCTCTCTCTCAGCTACATAATGATGCTTTTCATCAACTGAATATGTGAGATTTCCACCAACAGCAAAAGGATCTCATGTTTTTGTGGGTTTTTTTATGTTCACAAGCACATTCCCTCTCACGGATTACTAAACTGCTGTTTTGACAAGTTATCAGATTGTCTAAAAATAGGTCGTTTTGAAGTATAACTCAGCTTTTACGTTGCCTATTAACAAAATGTAAAAACTGGGGTGTAGTTTATAATCTCCTTTTTAAAGCTGAATTGAAACCAAAACTCAGGGAGGCGGAGTCTTGCTGCTACAGCTTCCCAAATCAGACCTGTTCAAAAGACGCGGAACGTGTCAGTGGACCCCAGAGGGTTAATAAAACACAATTCAAATCACACTATTTTCTTAGGCCTATTAATAACACACATATGATTTTGTTCACGTGGAAAGTTTATGTGGTTAAATCCACCAACTACCGGTAAACACATTCTGAACTTCAACACAGCGCACCAGTGCTTAATGCGACGCTGCGAGCAGCTGCGACCCAAAAAGTACCAGAACCGCTCACAGCGCATGCACAATCATGCATCAACACTGCTCGCCCGCTATTTCCCTAATAACACACGCTGTTCGTTTTTATTTCTACACGTATTTTACTCACAAAGATTGTCAAGAAAGTGTGCTTGTCGTGTTCATGTCAAATTAAACTGATCACAAAACACAGATCTACTTTATTTCGTTTCACTCATCCAACCCCCATGAATCCCTGTGTGTCCTCCTGCAGCACTCCCGGTGTACGCCCGGCTTTAGTAGGAGGGAGACCCGCGATTATAGCTTTGTCGCGCATCTCATTGAAAATGAATGGAGGAGAGGCGAAGTTGCCTCCCGTGTGTCGAGCCCATTAGAAGAGCACGAGCCGTCAGCGCACACAATGAGGAAGTGCACGTGCCCTCTAAACCAGGTCTGAACCAGGACTAGACCAGTAAAGTGAAGCATGCTTTTGGCTGTTTATAATTTTCACAATGTCTGGTTTGCACTGATATGTTCCGAGTCCCGAGCCCGCACAGATGTTTTACCGGTACGTTTTACCGTGCCCACGCCCACACACTATAACCCGGTGCGCCTTTTGTATGTGTTAAATACCAAAAAGACACCTGTAACTGAAGCTTCGTCCTATAACACGGTGCGCCCTATGGTCGTGAAAATACAGTACTTTTGGCAGACTGTGAAATTGAAACGTTGGACACAGAACTTGTAGCAGTTAATAGTCAATGAACAGTAATATGTTTTTGTCTTTTGTGCCCTCCTACTAGTAAAAATATCTGAAGTGACCTTGAATTAGTATTTTGCACTTTAAAAACATGTTTTTGTTTATTTATTGACTTAAAATATTTTCAGGGTCAAATGTATTATTCTTCAATTCATTTGTTATACATTATCATCAAAGTTCACATTCATGCAGCCAATGGTTAATAAATATTTGGTCTGTCGTTTTGTTTTTTCACTTAATGTCTGGCTTTTCTTTGTTCAAAGGCAGATTAGGCAGTTTTGCTTGTTTTAGCACTCCCTGGTGTCCGTTTTTAATTCTCTCAACAGTGAAGTGAAGTGAAACTTTTCTCCTCGCTGTCTATTTGTCTTTTCAACACCTTAATCTAACAGCTGAATTGTCTCCCAGCCTTTCTTTGTGACTACAAGCTCAATTTTTTTCAAGTACCAACAGAGCGGTCCGCCAGGCTGCAAGTTGCAAATACGGTATTGTGGCCATAGAGGGCTATAGGGTCTAATAGCTCTTTTCCATCGCCTGGTCTGGAACGGTCAGGTCTGGGCATTATGGACAGGTATGGGTCTAGAAGTTTTCTGGCAAGCATTTCTATTGCATTCCAGGCTCCAGTTACTAGGCAGGGTAGCGTAATGCGTCACATGCAATGTGTGCCTTAACGTCATACAGCGCGACGAGAACGCGCCAAAACACAACAACAATGGAGTCCAGTGAGCAGCGCGTTCTTTCTGTTCTTGGTGTTTGGTATATTCTTTACACCCACATCACGATAACGTTTAGAGCTATGCTGTGCGCATCGAGGAGGAGGGCAGCTGAAAGGTGACAACGCTTTCTGAAATTAATATCGGACACGAGGCATAACTTTCTACTGTTTAGACAAAGACGGAGGCGCCAGGTGGTAAGTAACTTCTAAAGCTGTAATATGTCATTATAATCTCTGAGGGGGTGTCTAAGGCAACTACCAAAAAAGACAAACTAAAAAAAGCACCAAAATCAAATGGTTTGGTTGTATATTGATTGTTTTCTAAGACATGCTAAACATGGAAGGCCAACAACCAACTATGCAGGTTTCAAACAGCTTCTGCACACATGGTGATGCTAGTCAACACGAGGGCCTGAATCCATCACTCTTTACTTCCTGGGCATGTCACAGATAAGTTGTGCAGCTTTGTTGAAATTATTATAATTAATTATATTGATGATTACAAGCAATACCACATTTGTGCATTTAATAAAGTGAACAAAACATAGCCTGTCACTGGTAGCTCCATAAAGAACAGCTGTTATTTTAACCTTGAACAAATTATATTTATGTGAACTTTTTGTCTATAACCATACTGTTTCAATCTTTTTCACTGCACTATTGTTTTTACTTTTACTGTGTTATGACTGTTTGAATTTTTTTTTAGTTGGCTCTTTTGAATCAGCGACGGCAACCAACTGTGTGGGCCTTCAGCCGTGCCAGTGCCTTCTGGAATGTGACCATGCCAAACTTCACTCCGTCAGATTGGATAGCTCATTTCAGAATGTCAGAAGAGACATTTTCATATCTTTGTTCCAAGCTCCGTCCAGCCATGCAGAAGATGAACACCAACGTCAGAGCCTGCGTGCCACTCAGGAAGAGTTGCAATTGCACTGTGGAAGCTTGCAACTAACAGTGAATACAGGAGCATCTGGCTTCTTTTTGGTGTAAGCACGACCTCTGTGTGCTGCTGTGTGCAGGACTTCTGTAAGGCTGTCTGTAAAATCTTGCCTGCCGAGGTTATGCTTTTCCAACTCTGCAAAAGCTACAGGAAATGGCTGACTATTTTGAGACCAGGTGGGGGGTTCCTTAGTGTGTGGGTAACATCGATGGTTCCCATATCCCAATAATAGCACCACAGGAATTCCACACAGACTATTTCAATAGGAAAGGTTGGCATTCCATAATCCTCCAGGGCATTGTGGATGGCAGAGGCATGTTCTGGAATGTTAATGCAGGTCAGCCAGGTAGCTTACATGATCCCCATGTGCTGCGATTGTCCACATTTTGGGACTTGGTTGCTCATGGACAACTGCACCCGACTAGCACCAAGAACATTGAGGGAATAAATGTAGGCTTTTATGTGCTCGGGGACTCTGCCTATCCTCTACAGAACTGGCTCCTAAAACCATTTTCAGATAACGGTCGTCTCACTGCAGAACAACAGGCGTACAACAGGAAAACATCCAGAGCCAGAGTTGTGGTCGAAAATGCATTTGGGAGGCTTAAGGGTAGGTGGCGATGTCTTCTGAAGAGAAACGACAGTGATGTAGCGCTTCTTAAATACACGGTGCTGACCTGTTGTGTGCTTTACAATATCTGTGAGAGCCATGGGGAGGAATATGTAGAATGTGACGCACCTGCTGATGAACCAGTGGTTGCAAATATGCAGGAAGTTGCAGAGGAGGGCAGTGATGTGCGTGAAGCTCTGATGCGACACTTCAACCGCTGACCTCAATTTGTTTTGTCTTTCCATTTACTTTGTTTATTGTTTTGACACTTTTAACTGTTGGAAACCTGTAGTTTGAACTGAAATGTTTGTTTTATTTTCAGAACTTAATAAAGTACACTATTTTACTCAAATATTGGTATTTTAAAAACTAAAGGGAAAAAATGTAAATAAACAACATAATTACAAACTGTTGCACCTTTCCATTTTAACATGTATTTAAGGTGGGCTGTAATGTAATCTACATTTATTATGTAAATTTAAATTTGCGAGGTAAATTGTTGCCAATACAATTCATGCACACCTTGTTTTTCTTTGAAATTTTATTGATAAAAAGAACAAACGTGGGATTAAAAAACTACAGGACAAATACACAACCCCTTACTGCCTGGGTGGTGGCAGGAAGTCAGAGGAGCTGCCCATTATTTGTGCGACCAGTCCAAGAACAGCATTTAGGGCACCCAAATGTTCAAAATATTGCTCTGCGATCTGTAATTCATGTTGCCTTGCTGCTGCAGTGTCTTGTTGCATCCAGTTAACCTGCTCCCGGCTTATGCCTTCCATTCTGTCCATCTGCCTGCCATCTGCGATCTGCAACTCATCAAATATCATCTGAGTGCGTGCTTCCAATCGCCGTCTTCGGTCACCTGGAAACAACAACACTGGCAATTACATTTGTGTTTATATGGATAACAAAATGTCAGTTGTCCTGTGAACTTGTCAATTTTGTTTATGCACAAAGCAATTTTTAGAATGGTCAGACACTACCTGTGCGTCGACGACATGGTAGATGTTCCTCTCGAATGGTAGTGGACAGAGGTGATGGTGGCACAGAATGTCCTGGAGTGCTACTTGAGGAAGTGGATGGTTCCTCTGAAGAGGGAGTGTTTTCAGCTTCAGATGTGTCTGAAAAACACACATCAAAAAATAAATCAGTAAGAAAACATCACAAAGTAAATCAGGAAGAAAAGCACAATATTTTTACAGTAAAAGAGCATATAGGCATATAGTAAACTTAATAATACTACCATGAGTTAAGGCCATTTTGTCATTTGGAATGTGCCCACTAGATGGCAGTAATTTGCTAGTGATGTACAGATTAATAGCAATTTTATGTTATATTCTTATTCATTCGAAAAATATATACTTGTGATAAGTCCACTCTAGGCTAAAAACACTGCTGGCGTGACTTTTGGGATCTTTATAATATTAGATCAGCTCGCTGCTCCTCACTGTGGGTGCTCAGCTGTATAAAACAATGAGATGCTAACGTGAAAGGCTAACTGATTTTGTCACGTTTTAAACAATGAGATGCTAACAAGAAAGGCAAACTCCACTCCAGCCTCATGTACGCAACAAGGACATGCTAAACATGAAAGGCTTATATTACGAACAGCGTGTTAAAAAACACGAGGGAATGCTAAATGAAGGTTAACATAAACACGAGGGGATGCTAAGGCTAGTTAACACAAGGGGGTAAATCCTCTCTTTACTTGCTGGGCATTTCTTAAATAGGTGCTGCTACTATTCAGTGTTTTTGGTGCTGCAGTTAATGGCCTGCAGAGCTAAAAAGACAACAAAGGAAATGCTTACCAACAGGGTTTACGAGTGACTCCAGGATACTGGTCGCCGAGTCCAGGCCTGCTTCGCTGCCTAGGTTTGACGGTCTGCATCCATAAATAGCATCCACCACATCGTACCACTTCCATGTACTTCGCCCATTCCCACTACGGTCGTTGCTGTCCTTAACTTTTCTGTAGTGGGCTTTTATTTTTTTCAGCTTCGCACGACACTGTTCGGAGGTGCGCTGGAATCCTTCAGCTGCCATGTGCTGAGAAACTTCTTTAAAGACTTTCTCATTTCTTATCATCCCATCCAGCTCGGCCTGAATGTTGCTATCTCCGATGATGGTGAGGAACGTTTGAAGCTCCGCATTGGGCCAAAAGCCATTATTTGCAGGCATTTTCGCGCACAAGGAGTACAGCCAAACACAATCACTGGAACACTGTTAGCTCTTTTCCATCACCTGGGATTGTCGCGGGTAGTTACGTAATTTCTCCCCCAATCAACCCTAGACCTTTTACGCTGTGGCTCCGCCCAGACCAAAAATCTCTGGACCCACATCAGAAGGGGTTCCGCTCTGGTCCGGTCCGGGTAGGTTTCCTGGAATGGTTCAACACTCGAAACAAAATATTTAGCGACCCGATCCTTCGCATTCCATGCCAGTTTGGCCGGTGAAAAATGCCTATTAGTGACATTTCATTAACCCTGTAAAGGATCATTTTAGCACCTACTGGCTCAAGAAACTGATCTAAAAATATGCAAAAGTTGCAAAGTATTCCTGTAAGGAATGTGTTTCCTGATATATCCTTTCATACGAAATAGGTAAAAGTATGTATGATTCAGGCTGATATCGTATCGAATTGATATCGGTATTGGCTGAAACTGAAGGCTGCAATATCGGTATCACATCGGAAGAGAACAGCGCTGTATCGGGACATCCCTACTTATTACAGCTAATAATATCAGATAAAAAAGTGGATTTAGCCATTTTTACAGCCATTTGATAGGAACACCATGCAGACCTCATGTCTTCAAATGAGGGCTGTGACCTAGAAAGCCTTCTTTGCAAGTGGCATCAGATGAGAACAATTAGGCCAGCTTTCTGCAGTCACCTGGAAGGTTTCTCAAACCACATGGGCCGTATTGGGGTAGAGCTATGTGCGCCAATACAAGAAGTCCAACTCCACCGGCAGTCTGTCCGTACCGACGTCGCAGACCCCCTGGATCGCACCGGGAACCTTCACCACAAGGGTCTGTAGTCTCTGCCTAACTGGCACGGATGGGTTTTTTGAATTATTGATAGTTTGTTAAACCGTACAGTCAGACTGATTTTACAACCCAGACATCACTAGTTTCTAGGTTTCTTACCAGCCACCGTATCATCTGCTGAAGTTGCCGACGGCACATGCGCGCTTTGTTGTTTACAACCAAAACTTTGTTGTTCTTCATAAGGTTTTGCTACGTAACATCTAAGCTTACATCCCATCATCTCATTCATTGTCTGTTATCTTGTTTCAACCATCATTCATCATAATTTGTTCCGTGTCATCAGTAGTAGAAATATAGTATTAAATAGATTTTTATAAACTATATTTTTGCTGGAAAAAAACGGCTGGCAAAAAGTTTCAGTCATTCATCCACCAGTACCTGTGTCCATGCTGTCCAGGTTGCGGTGGTGAAGAACACACGATGAATCAGTCCCAGCTGATGGATGATCCTGAAGTGGTAGCAGGTTTTCTTTAGCCGTGTTTAGCTAGCAGCTGCAATAGAAACAAAGCAGGAGAGCTGATTAAGATGCTGCTTCAGAACAACGCAGGAGATTAAAGATCCAACGCTTTGGTTCTGATCAGCTGAGGACAGATCCAGTCTGGAAAAGAGGACCTCTGGTCACCAGAGTTCACAGAGTTCTCTTCTGTTCTTCCAGCTACTGACTAAATTGAAGATGGATGCTCTACAAAAATACTAACAATGGTTTCTCCTGTTTAGTTCTGTCTGGTGGCTCACTAAAAGTCAAATCCAGCATGGCAGCATCTCATGGAGCCAACAACAGTGTTTCCCTTACATAGGCGTAGCCGTGGCGGCTGAAATCCCAGTGCCATGCCTACAAGATCCAAGTTTTATTGTTTGTTTGTTTTTTTTGCTCCGTTACCCAAAGAAGCAGCGGGAACTACTCTGTTGTTGCTTGTGATCACAGCCGGCAGGCAGCAAGGAGGAGGAGGCAGGGCAGGGTGGTTACAGCTAGGGATGAGCTGGATACTCATTTCATATTATCTCGGTGGATTTACCGTGGCTGCGGTGTAGGCGTGGTGACCCTTACCAGCCACCGTATCATCTGCTGAAGTTGCCGGCGGCACATGCGCGCTTTGTTGTTTACAACCAAAACTTTCTTGAAGCTAAAGCTGAAATAATGGCCAGAGGAGGAGGCGGCAGCGCTCAGGAGGACATTTATTATCCCTCAAAGAAGACAAAGTCGGAAGTACGGGCATCTTTTGGATATTTGAAGAATGCCGAGGGACAGTTGATAGAAGACGGTGTTAGGTAATTTAGATTTATCCCATATTACCTTAAAAGGACGACACACACAGAGAGAGAAAGATTATTTGTAGGTAATTTAGATTTATCCCATATTACCTTAAAACCTTTTACTCATATTACCCTGAGTCCCCAAAACATGGAGAGTTAACGCAGAGAAACCTCCTCCGAGGCTTCCCCACGTCACTCCCAAGTCTCCTCAGTTTCCCAGGGGCTTTATTCACAGCAAAGGATGGGGGAGAAGGCGGGGCCTTCTCAGGTTACAGAGTTACAGAGGTTTCAATTGCAATCAACCTCCTTGCTCAACCTTTCATGAACAACAACAGTTGGCAAAAACAGAGATTCATGCAGTGTCAATAACACAAAATTGGCATCTTTTAGGCCTCAAAAAGGTACAATTATAAAAATACCCAACATTCCCTCCTGATGTGACTTTTTGAGCAAGAAAAGATTAAACCAATAAAACACATTATTCTGAAATTAGGACACACCTTACCAACCTGGAATTTAAAATGACCAATTAATCAATAAGATTTCAGTTCAACATTAAACCAGACATCAAACCCAATTTTATCCTGCATTCCTAGCTTTATTAATTTATCCCCCCTGACTGCTTCCTTTGAGTAATAATAAAAATAAAATACATTATTCTGTCAACAAAACCCAGAGCAAGAGTTAAGACCTGGAATTAGGAATGAATAAACTAGACACCAAAACCTACATAATAATCTTGAGCTCCTAGCTTTATTAAGGTAACCCACATCATTTGTCATCAAACACTTGTGGATCTTCTGCTCCACATCCGTCGTTACCTCCTGTGCTGCAATCGATCGCTTATAGGACTGAACAGGTGTCACAGGTTCTGTATTTTCCGAGGCTGGCTGGCCTGCGGTTCTGGTTCCCTCCTGAACTTGGTGTTTGACCCCCGCACCTCATCTCCAGTCCAGGTGTGATGCACTGCAGTGGGTCTTGGTCACTGACTGTGTGCTCAGCTCTAGCATCGTCCTGCAGGCCGGAGGAACTTGTTGTTGCATGATGGAGATGCCACCTGGCTGTTGTTGACATCATTTTGGGAACCTCTGAGCTGACTTAGCGTTACATCAGCTCAGTTCCTTCTCCATCTTAGACTGCAGGTCAGTAGTCTCCACCTCCTCGTGAACTGTCACAGCTGCTGCACAGGGGAATTCAGACTCCCCCTGCTGGTGATGGCCGGGCGACCTTCCCCTTCCGAAGTCTTTACGTCTCCACTTTCCTCCTGAGCGAGCCATTCCTGCATTCGGAAAGCACAGAAGCTGGTTGTTGGGAGGTGAGATCAATGGGGCACAAAGGTTCTTGTGTCCGACCCGTGTCCTTTGATGTTTTCTACAGGAACCAATGCAGGTCAGCCACTGATCTTTATCACCTGTTAATCGAGTTGCCACCATCACAGCAGGACACAAATCAAGGAGTCTCCCAGTCTGTCAGTTAGCTGCACACAGCACATGAAGGTGTACTCATAACACTTGTGTTATTTTCCTGAGGTCAATGGGCTCATAGTTCCTTGTTTTCAGGGTGCGCTCAGGTCTTCTTCCTGTTAATCAAGTTTCATTAGTACTTCACAAAGTGAAAAATGAATCCAATAATCTTACGGTAGGGGCAGCCACTGAAGGATGACCCCCAACAATTTTCCCCAATAAACAACATCTTATTATTAAGCAAAATTGATGTCTGGTTAAAATTGGTAAGGTTTGCCTTACCTTATCACAAATGAAATAAAACACATACAAATTCTTTAAAACTAGCTTGTCTCAAAAGGAGTTTAATCAAAGAGATTCTATCACACTATTACACTAAAGCAGAGCTAAACCAATCACGTCACAGAGGCTTCAAAGAGGTTATTCACAAAAGAGTGCCACGGAGTCTTAGGAAGACACACCCAGAAGTTTACACAATTTTTTCAGCTGACCGGTAACTTAATCAACATTCTTTAGAATCAGCTGAACGGGGTAACTTAATCAACAAATGTTGTTGGACCTTCATCTTGTCTCAGGAAATGATCACAGAGGCCATTCTTCACCACTCTAAATTGTGATCAAAGAAGATCGATGACCTTTCGTTTAAACAAATACTTATCATTGTCTAGCCTTGATTAGATGCTCAGGAAACTTTTGCATTCAGGCAGGAGGCATTCTAATTTAAATGTCAATAATGGCTGTGGAGAATCAGCCCATCTCCAACTTTTCTACAGGAGAGTGTTTAGGGTAATCAAAGGTTAAAACACCACTTTAGCTTCTTACACATTTACAAGGATCTAAGCAATCAATTTGTCAATTAAACTTTATAATCTAAACAGAAAATAAATGATGGAATAATAGCTCAAATGTTGAAATAATTACAAAACAGCCTTACTGTTGAGCAAAATAAAATACTATGATTAGCATTTATGGTCTGCAGGGGCTGAGTTGATATTTACATTTAAAAGATCTGAACACCCTCCTGAGTCAACTGTGTAAGGTCTGCTTATGACAGGAACACCAAGTTTAACATGATTTAGTCATATGATAATAATCCAGAACATGGTGACACTAGCTTACATCTATCAGACTAGAAAATTTAAACAATAGGTCTCATAAATTACAATGTTAAAATTAAACCACGTCTACTTAATTAGTTCTAGAGGAAACAATAAACCAGGTCGAAACATTTAGTTTGGGGTTGTTTTAAACTATCTATATAGAACTTTCTAAAGTTTGTATTTTTAATAATGTTCTTTTCAAATTCTGTAACTTGGGGTCAAATCCATCAATAAAAGATTAGGGGAACTATGGCATGCTCTGTAAAAAAGGGTATTTAATTATTTTCACAGGGATCTAGTTTACTTTGAGGGGCAATCGCATGAATCACCTCCACCCTATTAGTTTTAATGCAGATAAGGGCATATGTCAAAATAACTTCTTCAGATAACGTCAGCAGCCACTAAAGCAACTGTTTTCTACACACACTCTTTCATGAGCTTTTTGCCCATTTCTAGTTAGACTCGTCTCATGAAGACAGACATCAGAGAGATTTAAATGATGACAAACATTGCTTTGTAATGCTCAATTATGCAGTTTTGAACATAAACAGGTACCGCACAAACCAGTTTAATAAACATACCCGGGTAATTTGTCATCAAATGAACCCTTCCTGTCTGGATAAAAAGTATTTTGAACATTAAGAATTTAGAAATTGAATATAAAACAAAAAAACCTCCTCTCTTTCTGCCTTCTTTAACTCTTACTTTTCTCCACCTGTCCGCTTTTTCCTTCTTTCTGCTAACCTCTCATTTCTTTCCTTATCTGATTTGTTGGTGGGCTGCAGCCTTATCAAACCATCCCCCTGTCTCATCAAGCCAAATCGTCACTATCTTTAACCGTTCCTCCTTAATCAATTTCTTTTTGTCAGTTGCTGCCATTAACTTTAACTTTTGTAAATGCTGACTAAATCACTCCACTGCTGATTTCTTAAGGTCCCATTAGCTTTGTATTTTTCCCTTTCCCACCAGTCATAACTACGCTGTCTCTTCACTTCCTACCCTTTGTTTCACACACACACTCACAGCTTCACGTAAACCCATACACACACACACCAGACCGGTCCAACATCCAGAACTTTAGTCATACTTTTTCATACATGCACAGAACGGAACAGAACAGACAGACAGACAGAGCCGACAGAACTGCAGCTACACAATCACACTTAGAACAGAACCTGCAGGTTTCATACACAGAGACACAATGAGATGAATCTCAGGCTGCACAACACAAAATGGGACGCAGCCCAGCCTACAAAACCACAAACACACAAACGAACGACAAGGGTGAATTATGAACGGTTTTGAGTCTTTTTAGCCAATTATAACGATGATTAATTTTCTGCACCATGAAATATTTAAAAAACATATGGTTGTCCTGCACAGAACTTGTTTTAATGTCCAATTATAACAGTCTGCGTAGAAGCTAAACCCCAGTGTGATTTCAGCAGTGGTTTGCACATTCAACCAAATTACAACCCACCTATCCGTTGTGGGGGTATTCACATTACAACCCTTCTCTAGTTTTTTACCTCTCTTTAGTTCTATCTCTCAATTTAATATTGCTATCCGCTTTAATCTGGCTGCACATCGCTTCCTATCGCAGTGCTGCAAGCAGGCAAGTTACCATCATCTATCCACGTCAGCGTACATCTCACGTACCTATTTGATACAGCAAACAAACACGTTGGGTCGCGAAGCCAACATGTCCTGTTGTATAACTCAACGTACTTCAAAGTAAACAGCGTTAAACAGAATCGGTCCCCTCCCCACTATCGGCAGCTGCAAAAGGAGTGTGTGCCTGTGCCAACGGCTGGCCGCTTTAACGCAGCGCTGGTTATTTTGAGGTAAACCTAGCAGGCTTTGGTCCAGCGACTCTCAGTTCTAGTCCTCATGCCGGGGCAAGAAACGTCTTTCGTGCGAGAATGGCAAATACTCCACATGCATGAAACACACTGTCAACCGATTGATAGGAAAAAGGTGCAATTGAATCAGATACTCACTCCCTCTGCGTGGCGTCCTGAGCACAACACAAAATGGGACTCAGCCCCATGACACCAGAAAAATCACAACACACATAACACAGACCGGAAATTTAGACCAATTTGAGATCTTTAAGCCAAATAACGGTGATTAATTTTAGTGTAAGCACCATAAAATATTTAAACAATTCCCTGCGGCAGTGTGATTTTAGCAACAACCTCTCCAATCGACACCAGCACTTTTGCTGCGTGTATTCACCATCCGCGTCTGCTTTAATGCAGCGCTGGTTTAGCAACAGTTTTAGGTTTATTTGAACATTCACCTGTAATTACTACCCACAGCTTTGCGGGACGCCCTGTGCGCGCAGACACAAGACTTATTAAAACCTCCTAAACTCAAGGCCAGGACTACAGCCACGGTTCACGTATTCAGTGTTACCTCTACGGTTCACAAGTGCAACCCCTAGCTGGACACGAAAATGTCTTGTCGTGTGTGAATGCCTTGTCACCACACTCAGCTTAAAAACACACTGCCAGCGGTTGAGGAAAAAGGTGCAAATTAATTTAGGTACTCACACGGCGTGCTATTCAGCTGGCCGGACTGTGAAGCGATCTCCCACCGAGACTCTGCTCTCCGGAGCTGTTTTCACCAGAGCTGATCCATCGTCTCCCTTACCAAAAACAGGCTCAAAACGATTTTAGCCAAACAATCTCACACGTCTTTTTCCGGTCATCAACCAAACTTTCTCACACACTCAAGAGGTTCACACACACACACGGCTGCAATCGGCCCACCTCAATCAACTTAAACCACACTGCCAGTGGTTAAAGAAACAGACGCAAATTAATGAATTAACTTAATGAATTAACTTACTCTCCTCCGCGTGGAACTTTCGTCCTGAGTTTGGGAAGGCGAGAGCTTAAATGGGAATCTACCTGCAAGGCTAAAAGACTGGCCGGTGAAACATTTTTAGTTTCCCAGGAGTGGCGCCTGCACAGCTCCCCGAAGACAGCTTCCCACTGACGGCTCTGCCTCCCCGTACGGGCCACCATTTGATAGGTAATTTTAGATTCATCCCATATTACCTTAAAATGACGACACACACAGAGAGAGAAAGATTATTTGTAGGTAATTTAGATTCATCCCATATTACCTTAAAAGGACGACACAGAGAGAGAGAGAGAGAGATTATTTGTAATGTCTATGAATCGTCATGTGAGAGCTGGACTCAACCAAACCCCTCCATGGAGCTAACCAGCCCCCCTCTGTTCCAGCCTCAAAGCCTTCACCTTACCAGCTCTGCATACCCGCATTCTCCATCAGGAGAACAGAATGTTAGGTAATATTTAATCTCCATAACCCTGAAACCTGAAATAAACACATATGACATCAAGGAAGACATTTTACCCTGAGTCCCCAAAACATGGAGAGTTAACGCAGAGAAACCTCCTCCGAGGCTTCCCCACGTCACTCCCAAGTCTCCTCAGTTTCCCAGGGGCTTTATTCACAAATGGATGGGGGAGAAGGCGGGGCCTTCTCAGGTTACAGAGTTACAAAGGTTTCAATTGCAATCAACCTCCTTGCTCAACCTTTCATGAACAACAACAGTTGGCAAAAACAGAGATTCATGCAGTGTCAATAACACAAAATTGGCATCTTTTAGGCCTCAAAAAAGTACAATTATAAAAATACCCAACAGACGGCTATCCTGTTTGCAGCACGTGCAGAAAGAATGTCTGTGAAAGGCAGCAATGCTTCAAATCTCATGACACATCTGCGTGACCATCACCCACAACTCGCAACGAGTCGCTAAATAAAGCAGCCGCTACCTGCATATAAACCGTGTCGCGGACACCCCCATGCTGAAATGACGCTATGCATTACGGGGCTCCCAGGGGCAGATAAGAGTTGGTCTCTCTCCGAGAATAATTATGAATTTAACAATGATTACTGCCTGATGACATTTTCCCAAATCTGCAAAGCTCACTGGAAGGACACAAACCGAGGACAATATTTTCCTGATATAGGGTTTATTACTCAAGTAAGGGTAAAAAAGTATCTGATTAGAAGGCTACTTGAGTACTGAGTATCATCTGATCTAATACAGGTGCTGGCCAGTAAATTAGAATATCATCAAAAGGTTGAAAATATTTCAGTAATTCCATTCAAAACGTGAAACTTGTACATTATATTCATGCAATGCACACAGACCAATGTATTTCCAATGTTCATTACATTTAAATTTGATATTCATAAGTGACAACTAATGAAAACTCCAAATTTGGTATCTCAAAAAATTAGAATATTCTGAAAAGGCTGAATATAGAAGACACCTGCTGCCACTCTAATCAGCTGATTTACTCAAAACACCTGCAAAGGCCTTTAAAAGGTCCCTCAGTCTTGTTTTGAAGGCACCACAATCATGGGGAAGACTTCTGACTTAACAGCTGTCCAAAAGACAATCATTGACACCTTGCACAAGGAGGGCAAGACACAAAAGGTGATTGCTAAAGAAGCTGGCTGTTCGCAGAGCTCTGTGTCCAAGCACATTAACAGACAGGCGAAGGGACGGAAAAAATGTGGTAGAAAAAAGTGTACAAGCTCTAGGGATAACCGCACCCTGCAGAGAATTGTGACGACAAACCCATTCAAAAATGTGGGGGAGATCCACAAAGAGTGGACTGCAGCTGGAGTCAGCGCTTCAAGAACCACCACGAGGAGACTCATGAAAGACATGGGATTCAGGTGTCGCATTCCGTGTGTCAAGCCACTCTTGAACAAGAAACAGCGCAAGAAGCGTCTCGCCTGGGCCAAGGACAAAAAGGACTGGACTGATGCTGAGTGGTCCAAAGTTATGTTTTCTGATGAAAGAAAGTTCTGCATTTCCTTTGGAAATCAAGGACCCAGAGTCTGGAGGAAGAGCGGAGAAGCACAGAATCCACGTTGCATGAGGTCCAGTGTAAAGTTTCCACCGTCAGTGATGGTGTGGGGTGCCATGTCATCTGCCGGTGTTGGCCCACTCTGTTTCCTGAGGTCCAGGGTCAATGCAGCCGTCTACCAGGAAGTTTTAGAGCACTTCATGCTTCCTGCTGCTGACCAACTTTATGGGGATGCAGACTTCACCTTTCAACAGGACTTGGCACCTGCACACAGTGCCAAAACCACCAGCACCTGGTTCAAGGACCATGGTATCCCTGTCCTTGATTGGCCAGCAAACTCGCCTGACCTTAACCCCATAGAAAATCTATGGGGTATTGTGAAGCGGAGGATGCAATACGCTAGACCCAACAATGCAGAGGAGCTGAAGACGACTATCAGAGCAACCTGGGCTCTCATAACACCTGAGCAGTGCCACAGACTGATCGAGTCCATGCCACGCCGCATTACTGCAGTTATTGAGGCAAAAGGAGCCCCGACTAAGTATTGAGTGCTATACATGCACATTCTTTTCATGTTCATTCTTTTCAGTTGGCCAACATTAGAGAAACAAACATTTTTTCATTGGCCTTTAGAATATTCTAATTTTCTGAGATACCAGATTTGATGTTTTCATTGGTTGTCACCTATAAATATCAAAATTAAACGTAATAAACATCGGAAATACATTGGTCTGTGTGCATTGCATGAATATAATGTACAAGTTTCACGTTTTGAATGGAATTACTGAAATATTTTCAACCTTTTGATGATATTCTAATTTACTGGCCAGCACCTGTATTTTTTAAATGATGACATCAAACAGACAAAAAATAAAAAGTTGTGGGCAAATATTGGTATTTTAAAAACTAAAGGGAAAAAATGTAAACAAACAACATCATTACAAAATAACACATTTTAGGCTCCTCCTCTATCTGAGATTCAACTATCGATCGGACCCTCCTCTCCAGTACCTTGGAGTAGACCTTTCCAGGGAGGCTGAGGAGTGTGATCCCCCTATAGTTGGAACACACCCTCAGGTCACCCTTCTTAAAGATGGGGACCACCACCCCGGTCTGCCACTCCCTAGGAACTGCCCCCGATGACCACGCAATGTTGTAGAGACGTGTCAACCATGACAGCCCTACAACATCCATAGCCTTGAGATACCCAGGACGAACCTCATCCGCCCCCGGGGCTCCGCCGCTGTGTAGTTGTTTGACTACCTCAGCAACTTCTGCCCCCGAGATCGGACAGTCCATCCCCAGGCCTCCCAGCTCTGGTTCCTCCTCGGAATGCGCATTGGTGGGATTGAGGAGCTCCTCAAAGTATTCCTTCCACCGTCCGACTATAGCCTCAGTTGACGTCAGCAGCTCCCCATCCCCACTGTAAACAGTGTGAGCGAGTTGCTGCCTTCCTCTCCTGAGGCGCCGGACAGTTTGCCAGAACCTCTTTGGAGCCGATCGATAGTCTTTCTCCATGGCCTCACCAAACTCCTCCCACGCCCGAGATTTTGCCTCGGCAACTGCCACTGCTGCACCCCGCTTGGCTATCCGGTACCTGTCTGCTGCCTCCGGAGACCCACAGACCAGCCACGCCCTGTAGGCCTCCTTCTTCAGCCTGACGGCTCCCCGAACCTCTGGTGTCCACCAGCGGGTACGGGGGTTGCCACCACGACTGGCACCGGCCACCTTACGACCACAGCTAGCAACAGCCGCCTCGACAATCGCAGAGTGGAACAAGGCCCACTCGGACTCAATGTCCCCCACTGCTCTCGGGACGTGGTCAAAGCTCTGCCGGAGGTGGGAGTTGAAGACCGTCTTGACAGGTTCTTCTGCCAGGCGTTCCCAGCAGACCCTCACTATGCGTTTGGGTCTGCCAGGTCTACGCGGCATGTTCCCTTGCCATCTGATCCAACTCACCACCAGGTGGTGATCAGTTGACAGCTCCGCCCCTCTCTTCACTCGGGTGTCCAAAACATACGGTCGCAGGTCAGATGATACGACTACAAAATCTATCATCGACCTGTGACCTAGGCCGCCCTGGTACCAAGTGTACCGGTGGGCATCCTTATGTTCGAACATGGTGTTCGTTATGGCCAAACTGCGGCTTGCACAGAAGTCCAATAACAAAACACCGCTCGAGTTCTGATCAGGTGGGCCGTTCCTCCCAATCACACCCCTCCAGGTCAAGCTGTCATTGCCCACGTGAGCATTGAAGTCCCCCAGCAGGACAATGGAGTCCCCTGATGGAGCACTATCTAGCACTCGTCCAAGGGACTCCAAAAAGGGTGGGTACTCTGAACTGATATTTGGCCCATACGCACAAACAACCGTCAGGACCCGTTCCCCGACCCGAAGGCGCAAGGAAGCTACCCTCTTGTCCCCCGGGGTAAACCCCAACACACAGGCAGAGAGTCTCGGGGCTAACAAAAAGCCAACCCCAGCCCTCCGCCTCTCACCCGGAGCAACTCCAGCAAAGTAGAGTGTCCAACCCCTCTCCAGGTCTCGGGTTCCAGAGCCAATGCAATGTGTCGAGGTGAGTCCGACTATATCTAGCCGGTACCGCTCAACCTCTGCCACAAGCTCCGGCTCCTTCCCCGCCAGCGAGGTGACGTTCCATGTCCCAAAAACTAGTTTCCTTGTCCGGGGATTGGACCGCCAAGGCTCCCGCCTTGGTCTGCCACCCGATTCACATTGCACCGGACCCTTCATGTTCCTCCTGCGGGTGGTGGGTCCACAGTTGGACGAGCCCATGTATCCGGTTCGGGCTGGGCCCGGCCGGGCCCCATGGGCGAAAGCCCGGCCACCAGGCGCTCGCTCACGGGCCCCAACCCCAGGCCTGGCTCCAGGGTGGGACCCCGGTAACCCTCCGGGCCGGGTACTCCGACTCTTCGTTTTCACCGCCATGAAAGATCCTTCGAACCGTTCTTTGTCTCACCCTTCACCTAAGACCAATTTGCCATGGGAGACCCTACCAGGGGCACTAAGTGCCCCAGGCAACATAGCTCCTAGGATCATTAGGGCACTCAAACTCCTCCACCACGATAAGGTGACGGTTCAAGGAGGAGCCCTGGTACCAAGTGTACCGGTGGGCATCCTTATGTTCGAACATGGTGGTTTTCGTCCTGGCCGTGGAACTGTGGACCAGCTCTATACCCTTGCAAGGGTGATGGAGGGGGCATGGGACATGTGCTTTGTGGATTTGGAGAAGGCTTATGACCGTGTCCCCAGGGGCACCCTGTGGGGGACGCTCCAGGAGTATGGGGTGGGTGGCTTTCTGTTAAGGGCCATTCAGTCCCTTTACCAGAGGAGCGTGAGTTTGGTCCGCATAGCCGGTAGTAAGTCGGACCTGTTCCCAGTGAGGGTTGGACTCCGCCAGGGCTGCCCTTTGTCACCGGTTCTGTTCATCATATTTATGGACAGAATTTCTAGACGCAGCCGTGGTGTGGAGTGTGTCGAGTTTGGTGGCAGGAGAATCTCGTCTCTGCTTTTTGCGGATGATGTGGTCCTCCTAGCTTCATCCAGCTCTGACCTTCAGCTCTTGCTGGGTAGGTTCGCGGCCGAATGTGAAGCGGCTGGGATGAGGATCAGCACCTCCAAATCTGAGACCATGGTTCTCGACCGGAAAAGGGTGGCTTGCCACCTCCGGGTCGGGGGAGAGGTCCTACCTCAAGTGGAGGAGTTTAAGTATCTCGGGGTCTTGTTCACGAGTGAGGGTAGGAGGGATCGGGAGATCGACAGGCGGATTGGTTCGGCGTCTGCAGTGATGCGGACGCTGAGCCGATCTGTCGTGGGGAAGAGGGAGCTGAGCCAGAAAGCCAGGCTCTCGATTTACCGGTCGATCTACGTCCCAATCCTCACCTATGGTCATGAGCTTTGGGTAATGACCGAAAGAACGAGATCGCGGATACAAGCGGCCGAAATGAGTTTCCTCCGTAGGGTGGCCGGGCTCAGCCTTAGAGATAGGGTGAGGAGCTCGGACATTCGGGAGGGACTCGGAGTAGAACCGCTGCTCCTCCGGATCGAAAGGAGCCAGTTGAGGTGGTTTGGGCATCTGGTCAGGATGCCTCCTGGACGCCTCCCTGGGGAGGTGTTTCGGGCATGTCCTGCCGGCAGAAGGCCCCCGGGTCGACCCAGGACACGTTGGAGAAGTTACATCTCCAATCTGGTCCGGGAACGCCTTGGGGTCCTGCCGGAGGAGCTGGTGGACAAGGCCGGGGAGAGGACGGCCTGGAGCTCCCTAGTTGGGATGCTGCCCCCGCGACCCGGACCCGGATAAGCGGAGGAAGACGAGAGACGAGAGAGACATTTTAGGCTAAATTTAGACACAAACTGAGGACAATATTTCCTGACATACAGGGTTTATTTAATTGTCTGAAAATGTAGCACGTTTAAAAAAATACCGCGATAATACCAAAAACTGTGGAAATTTTGGTCACAATAACCGTGAGGTTAAATTTTCACACCGTGACAACCCTACTCCCTACACACAAAACTGCAGCCGGGAGCTCAGTCCGTCCGCCCCATCCATGCACGCACGCACACACACACACAGTAACGGGTCTCTCTGTGCTTGCTTCACTGTTGCTCATGTTTCTTCAGTGCTCCCTAGGTATTCTTCAGCTTGCCTCTTTTTCGGTTGAATATTTAAAGTTACTTTTTTCATAACATACGTGGTGCATTTGACAAGACAGAGCTGATAACGGCTCGTGCATGCGTCGGTCACTGCCTCCGCTCCGGTCAGTTTTTTTTTTTATTATTTTAACTCTCTCTCCCTCTCTCTCTCACACACACGCCTCAATCAACATTGTTTTGTTTAACTGTGTGTGGAAAAAATGCCAACAACGTTAGGAAAAAATCAGTTTAATCAAATTAAAATAAAATGGTTTTAGTATTTCATATTTCCTAGTTCCTACTGCATGAGTTCAGATGCGTTAATTCATGCACTTAAATATTAATGTTCTGATTTTACTGAAAAACTTGTTCTGTAATAGTTCCTTTACTGTTGTGATCAAAAATATTTAATCTCAATTCTGAGGCTGCTCTGTAAATAGTTTTCAAATAAACAATACACATATCAACTTCTGATCAATCCATATCAGTTTCAGATTTAAAATAATGTATTGATGTAAACAACACCCACTAATTTCCAAATAAGGTGCATTCATCTGTGTATCTCCTTTGATCTGCATTAGTGATGTTTTCAGCACCAGAACAATGAAGCAAAGAAACAGATTCCTGAGTTTGTTAGTAATTTTATTTATTAGGTGCATCTGACCTGTTCTATTTTTCTCTGAAATGAAATCAAATCAGTGCTTCTATGGGTTGTCTCCTCTCTGCACTAGAAAAATTTACTTTATTATAATGTTCACTGTAAAGCATCTTGATGTTCTTAACAAATAAATTAAATCAAAGATATTGGTCAATAATGCCAAATATGTAAATTTATGTTTCATTTTTATACTGGCTTAAAAATACTTCATTAAGTCTACTAAGCAGGGGTGTAGAACGTGTTTAATAGGGCCAGCCCAGTAATGATCTTGGACCAAAATAAAGGGAGCAGAAAGTCAAATAAAGGGGGTGGAAGGAGATGTTTTTCCAGATGCCAAGAAAAATTAAATGCCAAATCCCCCCTGCAAAGTGTGTCACTGAGTTTAAAACAAAAATTATTCTTGTGCAAATATTGGTGTATTCACCTTTAATACTAGTTATTACAGTGCAGCAGTTGCTGGATTGGTGCAGTTCAAAGTGGAGTGCATCAACTAAAACAATATTAACATAAAGGTGAGACGTGTCATAATTACCCCACCACCACAGCTGGAAAAATTCCTTGGGGAAACACTGGATTCATTCTGGAAAAGAGGACCTTTGGTCACCAGAGTTCACGGAGTAGAGCTAACAGCTTTTTCCTTCAGAGTCACATTCAGATTCTGGGCTTTTCTTGTAGGTGTGTGTCAGAGTCCAAGCCCCCAGGCCGGGCTCTCCCAGCTGACCGGCTTCCGTCTTGGACCACATTACCCAGCATGCCCCTCGCGGGGATTCCCTCCACGTTTCACCTGCGTCATCCATGTCTATATATGGAAGACGCTATACCGGCTCTTCACTCAGTCATCGTTCCACCGTGATCATGATCAGAGTATTTCCAAAGCTACTACAACTAAACCTCCACCTTTCCTCCTCAGACCTCATCCGTCAGCCGTTCCAGCATCGCTTTCAGCCCACCATCTGTATAATAAACGCTCTTACTCCCGAACCCAGTCTTCGAGTCTGACAGGATGACTGAGTCCTTTAATCCAGCGGAGTTCGAGCAGGTGAAGATAAAGATGGAGCAACTGGTGAACGAGAACGTTCAGCTCCACGCCCAGGTCGACCGGCTTAACACCAGACTGAACTCCCAGATCGATCTCTCCATGCAGTTGTCTACTGCCGTCACGGCACTCCAGCAGCAGGTTCATGCTCTCCACCTGCAAGCCCTCACTCCACCGACGGGAGAGCCACACTTCAGTCTCCCGGAGAAGTGGAATGGAGAGACGGGGAGTCCAGACGGTCTGCTCGCTACCCTCGAGATGCAGTTCGAGTGCCACCCAGGACGCTTTCCCACTGCGCGTTCTCGAGTGGCACAGCTCACCTCCCTGCTCACCGGACGCGCGGCAGAGTGGGCTGCTGCGCTCTATAATTCTAAATCACCGGACTGCAATGACTACGCTGCATTCGTGGCTGCCCTCAGAAAGACGTTTGTTCCACCCAGCAGCGAAATGGGGGCAGAGGCACGACTCCTAAAACTCCGCCAGAAGGAGCGCTCTGTGTGCGCTTATGCGTCGGAGTTCCGCACCATCTCCGCCAAGCTGCGGTGGGATGACTCTGCCCTTCGAGCCGTCTTCTTGGAGGGACTGGCAACCTACATCCGGGATGAGATGGCGGGAAAGGAGCTGCCCCAGAACCTGGATGAAGTGGTGGATCTGGCATTGCGCATGGATCAGCGGGTTCTGGTTCGGCCCAAGCCCTTCACTCGCCCATCCAGGGCGCCTGGACCTCTTCCTCGTTCCCCCACGCCTGCTCCCGGACCCGCTTCTACTGATGAGTCCATGCAATTAGGCCACCTTCCTCCAGAGGAGAGACAGCGACGGTGGCGCGAGGGTCTCTGTGCCTATTGTGGCTCCTCCCACCACCGACGCCTGAACTGTCCATTACGTTTGGGAAACGAAGGAACCCACTGAGTATCGGGGTCGCTCAGCCTGGGTCACCTTCAGCCCCCACCTCTTCAAATCGACTCCTTCTTTATGTTTCCCTCCTTCATGGTGAGGCCTCACTCCAGATGCACGCACTGGTGGACTCGGGGGCCGCTGACAATTTCATGGACATGGATCTGGCTAAGCGCCTACGGATCCCCATGACCCCCTTGGAGAGAGTTGTGCCAGTGACCTCGGTGGACGGTAGGCCCCTCCAACCCTATCCGGTCCAAAACCGAACCCAGCCACTCCAGATGATTGTCCAAGGCCACAGAGAGACCATCCAGTTCCTGATCATATGTGCTCCCTCCTCTCCTCTAATCCTGGGATTTCCCTGGCTCCGTCTCCATGACCCCCGGATTTCCTGGTCCCAGGGCCGCCTTTTGGAATGGGGGGCCCAGTGCCAGGCCCACCTCTCTCCTCCTCCATCCATGCCAGACTGCCCGGCCGGTGACCCTGGTCCTACACCGCCCAATCTGCCACTGCCCTACCGGGACCTGGCTGCGGTGTTCGACAAGCGGCGCGCCACCACACTGCCGCCTCACCGCCCGTACGACATGGAGATTAAGCTGCAACCAGGAACCAGTCCACCCCGGGGGCGCCTTTTTTCTCTCTCTCCCGCCGAGTCCAGAGCCATGGAGGAATATATTGACCAGGCCCTCCGGCAGGGTTTCATCCGACCCTCGTCGTCCCCAGGTGCCGCAGGCTTCTTCTTTGTGAGGAAAAAGGAGGGTGATCTCCGCCCCTGTATAGATTACAGAGGACTGAACAAGATCACAGTCAGAGATCGTCATCCTCTGCCGCTCCTCACGTCCGCCCTGGATGCCATCTCCCAGGCGCGGATTTTCACCAAGCTGGACCTCCGGAGCGCCTACAACCTGGTCCGTATCAAAGCTGGAGATGAGTGGAAGACGGCGTTCATCACCCCCACCGGTCACTGGGAGTACCAGGTCATGCCCTTTGGACTGTGCAATAGCCCCGCCGTTTTCCAACGCTTCATCAATGATGTCCTCCGTGACATGTTGGGACGGTGGGTGTTTGCCTACCTGGATGACATTCTGATCTACTCCAAGTCAGAGGCCGAACACTACCACCATGTTCGCGCTGTCCTGACCCGGCTCCTGGACAACAACCTGTTCTGTAAGCCCGAGAAGTGCTCCTTCCACCAGCGGTCCGTTTCATTCCTGGGCTACCTGATTTCGGATCAAGGTCTAACTATGGACCCTCAGAAAGTCCAGGCGGTGAAGGACTGGCCCCTACCAACCAGCCTGAAGCAACTGCAGAGTTTTCTGGGTTTCTGCAACTTTTACCGTCGATTTATCAAAGACTTTAGCACCATTGTGGCGCCTCTCACCTCTCTCACCCGACCGAGCCCTCCTGGTCAAACGTTCCGGCTCACCCCAGATGCCGTTCGGGCCTTCCACTACCTAGTCGCTCGTTTCACATCGGCTCCTATCCTGCGCCATCCGGATCCAGCAGTCCCTTTTGTGGTCGAGGTCGACGCTTCGGATGTCGGCGCCGGCGCCATCCTGTCCCAAGGCGGCCCAGATGACAGGCTACACCCCTGCGCCTACTTCTCCAGGAAGTTTTCCACCACCCAGCAGAAGTACGGCGTAGGGGATCGCGAGCTGCTGGCCATAAAATGGGCGTTGGAGGAATGGAGGCAGTGGCTTCTGGGCACCCCTCAGCCGTTCACCATCTGGACTGACCACCAGAACCTAACCCACATCCGGTCCGCCAAGCAGCTAAATCCTCGCCAGGCTCGCTGGGCCCTCTTCTTCGAACCCTACGAGTTCCATCTCGCCTATCGCCCCGGGACTAAAAATCAGAAGGCGGGCGCCCTCTCCCGCCAGTTCACACATTCAGCGCCCACGTCCGAGCCGGCGCCCATCCTCCCGGAGCACCGTTTCGTGGCCCACCTTGGGTGGCCGTTGGAGGAGGCCATCCAAAACGCCCTCCGGGATGACCCAGCGTCGCCAGAGACCCCTGCCAGTCGGCTCTACGTCCCTGCGGCCTGTCGCAGTGAGGCGTTGGCCTGGGCCCACTCATCACGCCTGTCTGGTCACGCGGGCTTCTCTCGGACTCTCAAGTTCTTGAAACGGGCTCTCTGGTGGCCACGTATGGAGAGGGACGTTAAGGAATTCACGAGCGCCTGTGACGTCTGTGCCCGCTCTAAGGCATCCACCCAGGCTCCGGTTGGCACCCTCAGACCTCTTCCGGTGCCCAGCCGCCCCTGGTCCCATGTGGGGCTGGACTTTGTCACAGGTCTCCCGCCGGTCAACGACCTCGACACCATCCTAACGGTCACTGACCGGTTTTCCAAAGCTGTTCACTTCATCGCCCTCCCGGGCCTTCCCTCGGCCCGACGCACTGCAGAACTGTTTCTGGAGAATGTGGTGCGTCTCCATGGGTTCCCGGTCGACGTGGTCTCAGATCGTGGTCCCCAGTTCACGGCCCGTTTCTGGAAAGCCTTCTGCCATCTAGTGGGAGCTTCTGTCAGCCTGTCTTCGGGCTACCACCCACAGACCAACGGTCAATCGGAGCGGGCGAACCAACAGTTGGGCCGGTACCTCCGCTGCTTTGTCTCGGCCCAGCCCTCGCAGTGGCCTAAGTACCTCCTCTGGGCGGAGCTGTCCCATAATCTTCACACCTCCTCGGCCACTCAGATGAACCCCCTTTCAAGGTCTGCTATGGCTACCAGCCCCCAGTCTTCGCCCACCAGGAACCCGAAGTCGCGGTGCCAGCCGCTCAATCCCTGGTGAGGCGTTGCAAGAACGCATGGATCAAGGCGCGGGCC